TGAGGTTGACAGCAACGCATCAGCAGCATCCTTAATGTTCGGCATGCCGTCAACACTCGTTGGAGAGACAGGAGCACTGAAAGTCTGCACACGAGCTCCAGACTTGGTGTTGATCTTCAGGGTTCTTCCTTTCGGCGGCATGATGAAGAACGATGGTAGCCTGAAACAGCTACCAGGTTGCTCGACAATAAATGCAGCTCCTTTGTGACGCTTCTTATATGTTGGTAGACACTTTGAAGTAGAAACCTTGAGTTTGCTTCCTTTGTCAATCAGTAGCTGGCGTAAGCATCAAAACTCCCTTGGCGCATTGTCTTGGGAAGACCATTGTTGTTCACTGGCTGAGTAACCTTGGGAACTTAACGCCTTGAGATTCACTGGAGATTGATAAACTTGAAACATGTTCGCTGTATTAACACAATTTGTTAAGTCAATTATTAATCTTGAAGCGAGGAATACGAAAAGCTTGGTTAAAGCCCCATCAGGCATGGCTTTGGTGGACATTAGGGCTTCCGAAGTGCTTGAGGTAGAATCCATGGCGGAGAGGTAGCGTACACGAGATGTGCAACATTACGTTTTTCCTTCACATTCCTTCACTTCGTGCTCATTCCACCTGCTGCACAATAGTTGGATAGGAAATGACAAGGTTTTTCACCAAACCGAGTGGTAACTTGCTGAAACGCACCAAACAAACAGATTCTGAACCAGAGCAAAACCCCCTCTAGCTCCATAGGGACTTACAGTCTCGTGCGTCGGCCCTGAACGGTACCAAACGATAACCAGAAATACCACCTCCAAGTCCCCGCGAACTCCTACCAGACTCTGAGAACCGATCCGCGGTCCATCTTTGTTATCCTTTCTGAGAATCGCTTATTAGCTATTCTCTTAGAAGTGTGTAGGTTCGTTCCTCCAGTCACCAAGCTGAGTCGAGTTTACAATGATGCCGGCGATGGAAAGGCTTTTGGAGGAGATTGTGAGCGCTGGATCAAAGTTAGCCATTAGATTTGACGATGCCAGGAGGGAGTTGGAAGCGGAATAGCAACAGAGGAGATAAACAACTGAGAGCCCGATGCTGGCTGATAGAGTGGAAAGTCTGGAGAAGAATCTGAAAGAAACAAGGGATGAGTATATTAACAACATAAACAAACTCAAGAATGAGCTAGCAGCTGAGAGGGCTACGAAGGAGGGAAAGGAGAAGGAGGTGGCTGCACAGACAGTGAGACTCTCGCAGACAGAGAAGTGGCTTTCACAGGAGAAGGAGAAAAGCTGCAAAATGCTGGAGGTGAGCACTTGTAACCATAACGTGAGTAATTCGATGTCTATTTCTCCAGATCTACCCTTCTCACAGTGTCCTTTGTTGAGACGATTCCTCAGACTTCTTGTCAGTCAACAACTGGTCAACAACTGATTGCTGAGGATGAGTCACGGGCTTCAAGAGAGGAGATGGAGACAATTGTGAAGGCATTGACAGTGTAGTCAACGCAAGAATGCGGGTTCAGCGAAAGGAGGAATCGAGGAGGGTGCTTGAGATGAGAGCTAGTCGGGCGGGGTGAACGTTTCAGAAAATTTACCGAAAGATGTTATACTACGTTTACCCTGCTCGAATCGCACTCTGAGTAGTGTAGTGAGTTTCACCCCAAAAGCCAGAGTTAGCGAGAGCACTAACTATGAGTTAGTTTGCCCGTGAAAGAAGATTCCCCGTATGCTTCCTACGGAGCGTACCCTGAGTTGTTACTTTGCGTAGACGCGGCCCTTATTTGCTAACTCTGAGTTAGAAGGTGTCTCAAAATCTTCGGTTCACACTGGATCTAGGCGGTCGGCGTGGACCAGTCCACCAAACCACCACGGACCCGAGCGTGGACCCGCATGTTTTAACGATGGAAAAGGAATGTAATGGGGAGTCTAGTCTGGTTCGTCGATCTGGTCCACGTCGGACTCCCGAAGAGTCATGCTTTTCACGAATACTAACGAACTCACCCTACAAGTGTCGCAAGACTTGGCAGCGCGCGATGGCGGCTTGTCCAATGACAGGAAGCCCTCACGGGTCATTCTAACCTAGTGTTTGGAAAAAACAGACCGTGTTCTCGCCTGCACGCCACTGTGGATTTCATCAGCGGACTTGTCCGAAGCTGGCTCGCCAGCCTCACCTGGTCCAGCGGACCAGTCCACGGCTTTGGGGAGCAACATTTCCAAGAGCGGACCGGCTCGCGGACTCCTGCAAGTGAGACACGTCCTTAGCTTGGCTCGGTGTGATTGTATTCTGGTTTGGGTTTTGGCGAGTGATTCCGATTTCGGGCATTTCGTGTTTTTTCGCCAAACCCAGCCAACCCGCGTATTTCGCCCTGGGGGTTGTGTCAGCTCTCCAAAGTCCCAAATTGCAGGTGCGCTGCCTTTCAAAGCTTGCACACCCCACTTCGTAAAAACTTGATGACGAAATTTCTCGTTCACGGTTGTAGCGGGAAGGGGGTGATATCGACATGAGAAACTGCGTAGGAACCCACGTCATTTACCTTCGCCCCCCCCCCCCCTCCCCCCCGGGCATGTGCCTACATAACAGAGCCAACATTCAAGATCTTGATCCTGTTCGGGAGCCCCTCAACCAGAGGTTGAGTTGTGACGAGTTGGGGTGTACACGCTGGTACAGTTTTGCTAGTACAATGTCTGCCCTGGGTAATCTCGCTGATGAAACTGGGATGCCCACCCAATTTTTTCGAGTACTGAGCCTCACTTTCTCCTCGCTAGAGCATGGCGAGGTGAAAGTGAGCAAACAATTGCCTGTGATTACTGTGCAGTCAATGGAGTGTAAGGGCAGCGACTCGGAATCTCGAGCCGCTGCAGAGGAGAAGATGAGGTTGAAGGTTCCAAACCGGGAGGTTTGGAACCGAAAGTGGTCGCAAAGGGGTCGCAGGCGATTTTTGGGCTTCCGAGCCTCCCAAAGGCCTTGTTCTGTAGGCGGACAATTTCCAGCATCTGGTTTCGCACAGTAAGATTGATAACTGATCAATTGCTTATCTAGGTTTGGTGATAAGCGCGTGGATGCCAAACCTACTTGCGCCAAATTTGACGCTTCTGCCTGCAGAACACCACTTTTGACCCGCACAAATTTAACCGTGTGCTGGATCGAAGCAATTGCTGCGCCTGGCAAACGGTCGCACAACTAGGCTGCGTTCTGTGGGCGCATCAGCTCGCATCAATGTACATTGATGCATTCTACCACGGTTCCAAGATTCTTCCGTGATAACTGCCGACAGGTTATCAAGGTTCGCGATAAGCGCATGGCTGTCGAAGCGAAACAAATCCGAATGCCTGCAGAACGGCCTTTTCGGCGACCAAAATTTAACATGTCGCCGATTTACGAGAAATTTCTCGTCCTAGCAATCTGGCGCATCATTAATGCGCGCATCATGCAACTCCGAGAAGTCGCATGATGCGCGCACAGCTGGTGCGGAGCACCCTCATTCGTCAATTTGTTTCTTCCTAAACCCTCATTGGTTGGCACCTTTAGAAAATTTGCGGTCTAACTTCCTAGAAACCCATAAATTTTGGAAAATTGAGGAAATTGGATATCGAGATCTGACATGTCCAAATTCGAGGTTCGGACAAGGTTCGGAAATTTGGAAATTGGAGATTTCGGGAACCTTGTCCGAACCTCGTCCGAACCTTAATTTATCGATTTCAAGTTTGTCAGTTCCGAGCCTCAATTTCTCAATGTGCGCATCAGCCCGAGCCTCAGACGCATCAGAGCTGATGCGCCCACAGAACGCAGCCCTAGTGCGGGGCTGATTCAACCTCCAGGGCAAGAATCAGCCAGTGCACAAGTTATGCGGGGCTTTGGTTTGCGGAAATGCATTGGATATGCGGGGCTTCGTAGCAACATCGAGGGTGACAATTTTGATTTGATGCGACACGAATTTTCTAGGAAAGACTGTCCCGGACATTTTGTGCGGAGGCCAGTCCGCCTACAGAACAAGGCCAAAATTGATCCTCTGGATCTGGTTCTGCTCTTCCTCTCTTGCTCCCGAACAAGGCCCTTATAGTTTCAGGCACATATCCACAAATGTCCAAATAGTGCCAGGTGTTTCCACCAATAATCTGTTGTGTACATTCACAGGTATGAGCTGTTTGTCTTCTAATTGAATGTATAGAACGTGCAACAGAGGAAAAGCACTCCAGGCACTCGTATTTCCTTCACTTGATCGATTAGCTCCTTGTCAATCGTAGAGCTGCTACGTCCTCCTTTGAGACAGGAATCCAACACTCACCCCACTTCCAAGGTAAGCCCTGCCACCAAATTCCAGTAGGGAAACGGCGACTCGGTTCAAGGTCGTGTTGGCCGCATCATGCCAAGCATTCTCTCACGCTTGGCGCCAAGGCGTGAGAGCATGGCGAATGAACGCCCTAATCCAGCGCGCTCTCACGCTTGGCGCCAAGGCGTGAGAGCATGGCGAATGAACGCCCTGATCCAGCGCGCTCTCACGCTTGGCGCCAAGGCGTGAGAGCATGGCGAATGAACGCCCTGATCCTGCGCGCTCTCACGCTTGGCGCCAAGGCGTGAGAGCATGGCGAATGAACGCCCTGATCCAGCGCGCTCTCACGCTTGGCGCCAAGGCGTGAGAGCATGGCGAATGAACGCCCTGATCCAGCGCGCTCTCACGCTTGGCGCCAAGGCGTGAGAGCATGGCGAATGAACGCCCTGATCCAGCGCGCTCTCACGCTTGGCGCCAAGGCGTGAGAGCATGGCGAATGAACGCCCTGATCCAGCGCGCTCTCACCTGTTTCTCTCCCCCTGTGTCTCAGATCCGTTGTCATACCTTCTTCCCAGCAGCAGGTCGGGCTGTGAATGCTTGCATTCACACGTGTTTCTCTCCCCCCTGTGTCTCAGATCCGTTGTCACACCTTACTAGTACTACTAGTAGCCGCCAGCTCGAGGTTTTAGAGATTGACGAGTCAAGGATTCTCAAGGCGTCCGGCGCCAAGCCGCTATTTCCCCCGGGCTGCCTGCGATGAAGCACCAGCGATGCCACCAGCTTTCTGCCTTGAAGGCGGCGCTCCCCGCCGCGCTCTCCCCAGCGCTCACCATGGCGCTCTGGCTTGTCGCCTTCAACGTCTCGTCGTGCCACGCGCAAGTGATCAATGCTTCTCAAGGTAGTAATCCTAGCACCGCTCACCGTCCCACCCACCCTCCTCCACCCTGTGACAGTACTATTGGCTCAGTGATACCCGACTAGGGAGGCAGTAGAAGTAGTGTTACCTCTCCCTCCATTCCTCCCCTCCTAAGGGAGTACTCAGGTGGCTCCCTCCCTCCTCCCTCCCAAATTCCCTCCAACCCTCCTCCCTCCCTCTCCCACTCCCTCCGTCCCTCCTCTCTCCCTCCTCCACTTCCTCCCTCCCACCCCCTCCTTCCCCCACTCCCTCCCTCCCGTCCACCCTCCCTCCCCCACTCCCTCCCTCCCTCCTCCCTCCCTCCCACACTCCCTACCTCTCCCACTCCCTCCTGCCCCCCCCCTCCCTCCCCCACTCCCTCCCTCCCTTCTCCCTCCCCCACTCCCTCCCTCCTCCCTCCCCCACTCCCTCCCTCCTCCCTCCCCCACTCCCTCCCTCCCTCCCTCCCCCACTCCCTCCCTCCCTCCCTCCCCCACTCCCTCCCTCCTCCCTCCCCCACTCCCTCCCTCCCTCCCTCCCCCACTCCCTCCCTCCTCCCTCCCCCACTCCCTCCCTCCTCCCTCCCCCACTCCCTCCCTCCCTCCCTCCCCCACTCCCTCCCTCCCTCCCTCCCCCACTCCCTCCCTCCCTCCCTCCCCCACTCCCTCCCTCCCTCCCTCCCCCACTCCCTCCCTCCCTCCCTCCCCCACTCCCTCCCTCCCTCCCTCCCCCACTCCCTCCCTCCCTCCCCCACTCTCTCCCTCCCTCCCTCCCCCATCCCTCCCTCCCTCCCCCACACCCTCCCTCCCTCTTCCCCCCCTTCCCCACTCCCTCCTTCCCCTTCCCCTCTCCCCCTCTCCTTCCGACGCATGCCTCGAAGCTTATGCACTCATGCTACTCATGAGTGCTCATGTCACTCATTTCCTTCCGCGACTTTTCTTATGCCCTCTCCTCGCCCCAACACGTCAGGGTTGTTTCTCAGCGACGTCAAGACGGGATGGGGCATGGGGTGGAAGGTGGGAGACAAATGCAGCACTGCGGCATCTATCCTGTGCGACGCTTCAGGCATGATCACCTCGATGTGAGTGCACGCGTTAATATCTTGGATGGAAAGGCGCTTCTTCCATGACACACACACCATCTGCTGCCTGCCGCAGATGCTTCCCCCAGCTCCGAACCCGACCTCTCCCACCTCTCTCTCCCTCCGTGGTCTACTTCTCCCATTACAGCTGCTTCCATTGCTCCAGGTTCCTCCCCTGATGCTGTTTATTCCCCACGCCAGGCATCACTGTCGGCACTCCTCCACTGCCCATGCACTCTGCATGCCCACTCCTCCCCCCTTCTTCTGTCTGCATCGCGTTGCCACTCCTCGATCGTCTCTGCTGCACAAACCTTGTGGTCTCGCTTCATTGAGTTCACGTGTGCCTTGCTTAGTAGAACTCACAGTTGCCACTACACAATCTCTACCTTCACAATCACAAACCTCGACAATTGCCTGGCTCTAGCCCTTTTGAATATATCATGCCTTCCAGGTTCCCGCCACCCTCTGTAGACAAGCATTTGAGCCTTTCGTCTTACCACGCGCAACTCACTCACCCCACACAGGTCTTTTTGGAGCAACAATCTCACGGGCTCCATTCCCGACAGCATCTCTGCGCTCAGGGCACTCAGATACCTGTAAGAGGCATACTGGGTTTGCTCCACCTGCGTGCTGTTTTGCCCACTGGTGCTGCATGCCATGTGCGCATCACTGCTGGCACTCCTCCACTGCCCATCCACACTGCATGCCCACTCCTCCCCCCTACTTCTGTCTGCATCGCGTTGCCACTGCTCGATCGTCTCTGCTGCACCAACCTTGTGATCTCGCTTCATTGAGTTCACGTGTGCTTTGCTTAGTAGAACTCACAGTTGCCACTACACAATCTCTACCTTCACAATCACAAACCTCGACAATTGCCTGGCTCTAACCCTTCTGAATATATCATGCCTTCCAGGTTCCCGCCACCCTCTGTAGACAAGCATTTGAGCCTCTCGTCTTACCACGCGCAACTCACTCACCCCACACAGGTATCTTTTTGACAACGATCTCACCGGCTCCATTCCCGACAGCATCTCTGCGCTGAAGGATCTGACATGGCTGTAAGAGGCACACTGGGTTTGCTCCACTTGCGTGCTGATTTGCCCACCGGGTGCTGCATGCCATGTGAGCATCACTGTTGGCACTCCTCCACTGCCCATCCACACTGCATGCCCACTCCTCCCCCCTACTTCTGTCTGCATCGCGTTGCCACTCCTCGATCGTCTCTGCTGCACAAACCTTGTGGTCTCGCTTCATTGACACGTGTGCCTTGCTTAGTAGAACTCACAGTTGCCACTACACAATCTCTACCTTCACAATCACAATCCTCGACAATTGCCTGGCTCTAGCCCTTTTGAATATATCATGCCTTCCAGGTTCCCGCCACCCTCTGTAGACAAGCATTTGAGCCTCTCGTCTTACCACGCGCAACTCACTCACCCCACACAGGTATATTGAACGCAACAATCTCACAGGCTCCATTCCCGACAGCATCTCCGCGCTGACGGCACTCAAATACTTGTAAGCGGCACACTGGGTTTGCACCACCTGCGTGCTGCTCTGGTCACTGGGTGCTGCATGCCATGTGCGCATCACTGCTGGCACTCCTCCACGGCCCATGCACTCTGCATGCCCACTCCTCCCCCCTACTTCTGTTTGCATCGCGTTGCCACTCCTCGATTGTCTCTGCTGCACCAACCTTGTGGTCTCGCTTCATTGAGTTCACGTGTGCCTTGCTTAGTAGAACTCACAGTTGCCACTACACAATCTCTACCTTCACAATCACAAACCTCTACAATTGCCTGGCTCTAGCCCTTTTGAATATATCATGCCTTCCAGGTTCCCGCCACCCTCTGTAGACAAGCATTTGAGCCTCTCGTCTTACCACGCGCAACTCACTCACCCCACACAGGTATCTTGGTGGCAGCAGTCTCACGGGCTCCATTCCCGACAGCATCTCTGCGCTGAAGGATCTGACATGGCTGTAAGAGGCACACTGGGTTTGCTCCACTTGCGTGCTGATTTGCCCACCGGGTGCTGCATGCCATGTGCGCATCACTGCTGGCACTCCTCCACGGCCCATGCACTCTGCATACCCACTCCTCCCCCCTACTTCTGTCTGCATCGCGTTGCCATTCCTCGATCGTCTCTGCTGCACCAACCTTGTGGACTAGCTTCATTGAGTTCACGTGTGTCTTGCTTAGTAGAACCCACAGTTGCCACTACACAATCTCTACCTTCACAATCACAAACCTCAACAATTGCCTGGCTCTAGCCCTTTTGAATATATCATGCCTTCCAGGTCCCCGCCACCCTCTGTAGACAAGCATTCGAGCCTCTCGTCTTACCACGCGTAACTCACTCATCCCACACAGGTATTTTGGCGAAAACGATCTTACGGGCTCCATTCCCGACAGCATCTCTGCGCTAACGGCACTCGAACTTTTGTAAGTGGCACACTGGGTTTGCACCACCTGCGTGCTGCTCTGCCCACTGGGCGCTGCATGCCATGTGCGCATCACTGCCGGCACTCCTCCACTGCATATGCACACCGCATGCCCACTCCCCCCACCTCTTTTGTCTGCATCGCGTTGCCACTCCTGCCATGCCCTCTCTTCTCATCACGCTCAACTCACTCAACCCCATACAGGAGTCTTGGCGGTAACAGTCTCACGGGCTCCATTCCCGACAGCATCTCTGCGCTCACGGCACTCAAAAACCTGTAAGCGGCACACTGGGTTTGCACCACCTGCGTGCCGCTCTAGCCCTTTTGAATCTATTATGCCTTCCAGGTTCCCGCCACCCGCTGTAGACAAGCATTTGAGCCTCTCGTCTTACCACGCGCAACTCACTCAACCCACACAGGGATCTTCGCAGCAACAGTCTCACGGGCTCCATTCCTGACAGCATCTCTGCGCTGAAGGATCTGACATGGCTGTAAGAGGCATAATGGGTTTGCTCCACCTGCGTGCTGTTTTGCCCACCGGGTGTTGCATGCCATGTGCGCATCACTTCTGGCACTCCTCCACTGCCCATGCACTCTGCATGCCCACTCCTCCCCCTTTCTTTTGTCTGCATCCCTTTGCCACTCCGTGTCCCTCCCTGCTGCTGTGCTTCAATAGTTTCATGATTTTGCTGCTTCGGAAGAGTATGCAACTGCCACTACACAATGTCAACTTAGAAAATCGCAGTCTGCTACAGTAGCCTTGCCCTAGCCCTTCCGAACTGATTATGCCTTCACAGATCCGGCCACCCTCTGTGGACAGGCTCGAGTCACATGTTTCGTTGAGGTGGTGTGCTGTGCTGGTGATCAAGTGGAATGGAGTTGAGGCTGGTTGGGGACAAGATGTCTGTGGCATTCATTGGGAGACTCCCCATTCACCTACATCGTGTGCTTCATGCACTGCTACTGTGCACTCTGGTTTATAGCATAGCACATTGCAAGGCATGCACAAGGTACTAGATGTACGAGTATCGTGAAGTCACACGTGAGTGTTTCTTTTCCTCCTGCCATGCCCTCTCTTCTCATCACGCGCAACTCACTCAACCCCACACAGGTTTCTTAGCAGCAACAGTCTCACGGGCTCCATTCCTTACAGTATCTCTGCGCTGAAGGAACTCGAATTGTTGTAAGAGGCACACTGGGTTTGCTCCATCTGCGTGCTGTTTTGCCCACTGGGTGCTGCATGCCATGTGCGCATCACTGCTGGCACTCCTCCACTGCCCATGCACTCTGCATGCCCACTCCTCCCCCCTTCTTCTGTCTGCATCGCGTTGCCACTCCTCTATCTCTGCTGCACCAACCTTGTGGTCTCTCTTCATTGAGTTCACGTGTTTCTTGCGTAGTAAAACTCACAGTTGCCACTACACAATCTCTACCTTCACCATCACAAACCTCGACAATTGCCTGGCTCTAGCCCTTTTGAATATATCATGCCTTCCAGGTTCCCGCCACCCTCTGTAGACAAGCATTTGAGCCTCTCGTCTTACCACGCGCAACTCACTCAACCCACACAGGGATCTTAGCAGCAACAGTCTCACGGGCTCCATTCCTGACAGTATCACTGCGCTCAGGGCACTCGGATACCTGTAAGAGGCACACTGGGTTTGCTCCATCTGCGTGCTGTTTTGCCCACTGAATGGCGCATGCTATGTGCGCATCACTTCTGGCACTCCTCCACTGCCCATGCACTCTGCATGCCTACTCCTCCCCCCTTCTTCTGTCTGCATCGCGTGGCCACTCCTTTATCTCTGCTGCACCAACCTTGTGATCTCGTTTCATTGAGTTCACGTGTGCCTTGCTTAGTAAAACCCACAGTTGCCACTACACAATCTCTACCTTCACAATCACAAACCTCGACACAGGAATCTTCGGAAGAACAATCTCACGGGCCCTATTCCTGACAGCCTCCCTGTTCCGCAGTGGTTCTTCCCTTCTGCCTCACCGCCACCACCTAAGCCTGCTGGTATGTTTTCTGCTTTGGATAGTCAATTACTGTTTTCGTTTTTTGGAATTTTTGAAACATCAGTCTCACGGGTTCAATTTCAGATGGCGGTCTTGTTCCGCAGTGGGCTGTCCCTTCTACCTCACCACCACCACCTAAGCCTTCTGGTATGTTTTCTACTTTGGATTTTTTCACTACTGTTTTCGTTTTTTGCAACTGTGACCTCCGCATGTCACCCCTCGTACCCCTGCTTCCCCTCGTTTCCTTGTTCCCGCTCCCCTTCCCTCCCTCCCCCCAACCCTCCCCCTTTCTTCCCAGACAATCACATGCCCTTCTCCCACCCTTCACTTGTTTCCACAAATTCTTTGCTATTGCTCTGATGTGACTCTTCACTCCACCTGCTCTCCTCTTGTCAGGTTCTGTCACTCCACCTGTCAGTGTGGTTGCCGCTGCCATTGCTGTTGCGCTTACCTCACTGCTCTTTGTGTAGAGCAGTGCATTGAACATGGAACAACAGGAGAGACAAGTCAGTGCTTATCGAATTGCAGTGAAAATATAGAATGACACTATAAGTGGTAGCACCCCCACCAGTGTGCCTCTGAAGAAGTTCGCTGTTACATTGTGAGGAGCTCTTGGGATTGTGACTAGAATTATGCTGGCAAACTTGCCAGGATGCTGCATTAAAGCCCGAGTCTAGAATGGGAAAGATTCTTGAACATGATTTCGCCAGTGAACACGGTAACCCGCCTTTGTGTGGGGCGCCCTCGCGATCCTCTTTGAAGGTGTTTGAATTGAAGCGCAATAATATGATTGGCCAAAAGCACAACAGCAACATCACCGTCGACACCCGCAAAAACAAACAAGAACTGGGGCCACTGTTTACAGTTTCCGAAACTTGAAGCTTGAAGCTACCTTTCTAGACTTGTTGATTAGTAGGCTCAGTAGCCCACAATATCGTCTTTCGATAACTACTGCTGGCGACACCCAAGATTTTGTATTGCGACGTCCGTCGGTTTGCATAGTATAGGTCTCCACCGTCACCCGCTAACGCCCATTTCATCGGATCTCTCGCGGTACTCGCAAATATATCTCACACCCCATCTAATCCGTCGTCCCGCCGAACACGCTACTCCAGTTGCACTCGTAGGTCCCGTCTCGCCTCTGGCTCTCGTCGATCCTGCTCCTCCCGTCGCCCTCGTCGCGTCTGTCGTAGTCGCCGTGCCCGTCACTCCCGTCCCGGTCGTGCCTTCCGTCCATCGTCCAGTCCACCCCCGTCCTTGCCGTCGCCCAGCACCCTCCGTCCCTTCCGTCCCGCGCCTCGCTTCCGTCTCGCATTCGCTCCTGCTGTAGCGCGCCTCCCTCCCGTGCCTCCCTTCCCTCTCCGCCGCTCGTCATCCGTCCCTCATTCGCATCTCTCACTAGATCCATCGCGCACTCCCCCCGTCGCTCGAACGATCCCACCGCCCACACAGGGCAATTGCCTTGCCTCAGGTCCAGTCGCACACACACTCGAATGTGACATTCACTCCTGTTTCACCGCACACTCACTCTCTGTCAAACATAATAGTTTAGGGGCCTAGGGTTGTCAGAATGTGATGTTTGTCTAGCCTGCAGTGGGGTACTCTATAGCGAGTACAGCCCAATTAGGGTTTCCTATATGTACTCAACTGTCTGCTAGTGCAAACCCTCTTTTGCCTGTTTCTCGATTGTGCCTGCTGATTTCGACATGCTATCAGAGCAGGTCGACCCTTCTGGGTCGATCCTGTGGGTGGGCTCCACCCGATACTTCCGCTGCTTTACTGCCTGTAGCGCGCACCGGGCGCGTGCTGTTTCCTGCCTGCCGCGCGCTCCGGGCGCGCAGCGATTTTTCTTCCCGCCGCGCGCTCGGGGCGCGCGGCGGTTTTCTGCCCCGTCGAACCGCGCGTTGCCCCCGGTCGACCGTCGCGTCGCCCCCCGTCGCCCAACGCGGCCCGCGCGACTTGCGCCAGGCCCGCGCGCGGCCCGTACGGGCTGCGCCAGGCCCGCGCGCGACCCGTACGGGCTGCGCCAGGCCCGCGCGCGGCCCGTACGGGCTACGCCAGGCCCGCGCGCGGCCCGGGCAGCCCGCGTGCGGTTCGTCCCGAGCTTCTGACCGCGCCCCACCCCCGCTGCTGCCCGCGCTCCTGTGTTAGGGTTTAGGGGTGGAGAGTATGGGGGTGCCGGGTGTATGAGCCGTCCCCTGCTCCTCCTCCTCCCCCGTCTCCCACTGCTGCAGCTGCCGCTGAGGGGGGTGGATGTGTTGGAGCCGTCGGAGTGGTACGAGGGGGTGGCGTGTGAGCAGTGCTAGAGGTGCAGCAGGGAGTGTGTGAAAGGGGTGTGGGACAGTTGGGGGAGGTTGACCGGAGGTAGCCGACTTGTCGTCCGCAGCGCCTGAAGTCCAGAGAGCCACGACCCCCTGTAGCCTGAGTAGTCCGGGGCTCTACGCCCGGTAGCCACAGTGTGAGCACTCCTGGTAGTCCAGAGAGCCACGACCCCCTGTGGCCTGAATAGTCCGGGGCTCTGCGCCCGGTAGCCACAGTGTGTGCACTCCACAGTGAGCCAACTGCGTCTGTCGCCGTGTAGTCCGGGTTTAGCCTGGTAGCGACAGTGTTGCGTACTCCTGCTGCCTGTGTGTCTGCAGCTTCAGCCGTCGCCTCCCATCTTCTCGCCCTCACGGTTTCTCCTCCTCCTCACTTGCCCTTTGTGACTGCCTCTAGCTTTGCTTATAATTGTGAACTACTGCTCTGCTTGCTTGTTGTGTTGATTGTACCCCACTTTGACTATGGGGGTGTGTCAGAATGTGATGTTTGTCTAGCCTGAAGTGGGGTACTCTATAGCGAGTACAACCCGATTAGGGTTTCCTATATGTACGCAACTGTCTGCCAGTGCAAACCCTCTTTTGCCTGTTTCTCGATTGTGCCTAGCATTTCGACAAGGGTTTGACCTAGGCAAGAGTGACGAGAGGAAAAGTGCAAGCCAAAAGAGAGGTTCAATAGTAGAGGGCATACAAGATATAGGCAAGGAATTAGGCAAATGGTACACCACCTAGCAGGAAACTAAGATAACTACACTAGGCTACTGTAGGCATTTATATGAATGTATACAAATACATTTCAACACTCGAATGTGACATTCACTCCTGTTCCGCACACTCACTCTCGCCACTCACGCCCTCCCGTGCCAAAATGCGTCCCGTTGTTGAGATATTCGTCCCGCGCTAACTCACTCCCGTCGCTCATGAACTCCTGCAGTGGAATCACTCCGTCGCTTGCTCATTCTCGTCCCGCGCTCACCTTGTAGGGCGCGGAACTCCCGTATGTCTTCACACCACGGTTTCTCTTCCCCTGCCTGGACCGCATCCTTTCAGTCCAATGGCTCTGCCATCGGTGCCTGCATGCGCTTCTCCGCGTCTTCCGCCTCCCACGCTTCCGCGTGCGCCACTACGCTGGCGGACGACCTAATATGCACGCAGGGACTACGCGCCTAGCAGCAGCGGAAGCCCTTGCACTCGCTCTCGCAGGCCGTTGCCAAGGAAGGACACGGGGGTAAGGAGGGTGAGACAAAGGGAAAAACGGAAGGGAGCAAGAGCGCGCTCGCAGGCCATTGCCTAGGCAGCCGCCGAGTTATCGCTATCTGAGGTGGCGAGCTGCATGGTGGTGTGGTAGACGCCACAGATTCTGCCTCCTCCTGGGAGCCAGAGCCTTGGACGGCGTGCATGAGAGAAGACGCAGGGGGTGCTGGGGAGGAGAGGTAGCGCGCCTGTCACATGGCGTCCACCCCTCTCCTCCTTACCATCTCAGCCCCTCTCCTCCTTACCATCTCAGCCCCTCTCCTCCTTACCATCTCAGCCCCTCTCCTCCTTACCATCTCAGTCCCTCTCTTCCTTACCATCTCAGCCCCTCTCCTCCTTACCATCTCAGCCCCTCTCCTCCTTTCCCTCTCAGCTCAGGTGTGCACACACTGTGCGAGATTCTCTGCCCTTGGTCTCCCCGCCTGTTCCCCTCTGCGCCATCCCCGCCCTTTCCCTCCCTCACCTTTCTCCCCTCCTCCCTTCCCCTTCTTCTCTCTCACACCCATCTCCTCTCATCGCTAACTCATGCTTCCCGCCCTTCCACTCCCCACCCTCTCAGCCACACGTCCTCCTTCCTAACCTTCCCTTCTTCTCCCCTCCTATGCCTCCCTTCCCTCACAGCACAGCCCGTCTCCTACCTTCACTCTCCGCCCATCTCTCCCCGTCCCTCTCTACCCGTAATCTCCTTTCCGCCTCTGCCATCTGTTCCTACTCGCCGCCCTCCCTTCACTCCCCCTTCCGTATGCCCTGTTTCCCGACTCTCACCCTTGCTGCTCCCACTTCCATACGCAGAGCTACCCAACTTCCCCTTGTTAGAAACTAGTAGCACGAATGAATGAACTTTGAAAGAGTTGGGTACAAATATGAAACCCTACAAGGGGCTGTACCCCATATTGGCTACCCCACTACAGCCTAGACATATATAGCAGATATATCACTTGACACTCCCCCATAGGCAAAGTGGGGGAGAGCAAGGGGTCACAACACCAGTCTAGAGAAGCAAAGCAAGCTCAGTGTGGATCACAACGTCACCACACACTCTGAGCACACGCAAAGGGCCACAAGGCCAGTTCACATGCAGAAGTATATATGCAACAAGAACAGCACAGTGATCACTACCTAGCAAGAGCAAGCATGCAGGTATATATATATAGATCACAGTACAAGCAGAGTCTACAGCAAGTGTGGAAACGTAGGCACAAGGCCTAACAGGGTACAAAAGCGCTGATGATCACCAGACGAAAGCGCCTTGGTGAATATATCAGCAGTGTTGGCCCGGGTGGCCACGTGAGCAAGTCGAAGCTGACCCCGCTGCTGCAACTCTCGAGCCAGGAAGTAACGCAGAGCGATGTGCTTCGTTCTGTGCTCCAGTCTGTGCTCCTCGCACCAGGCAATGGCGGCCTTGTTGTCGACGTACAGCACTGGAGGAGAACGAGGCCGCTCTCCCAGGTCAGTCAGCAGGTAAGTGAGCCAGCGTAACTCCTGTGCAGCCATGGCTGTGGCGTAGATCTCAGCCTCACAACTGGAGCTGAGAACAGAAGACGAGCAAGTAGAACGCCAAGAGACAGAACCGGAGCCAAGGCTGAAAGTGTAACCCTGTGACGACCGCTGTGTAGCCTGGTCGTCAACCCAAGAAGCGTCCGAGTGCCCAGTGAGAACCACGTCTCTCCGCCCTCCAAGCACGAGCCCCATGCCCGATGTACTGCACAAGTAGCGCAGTACCCTCTTCGCAGCATCCCAGTGCACCTTTCGGTGTCGACCAGGAGCCACGTAGCAGGCCAGAAGGCCAAGAGGGTACGCAAGGTCAGGACGAGTGCACGTCATCAGGTACATGAGGCAGCCCACTAGCTCTGGGTAAGGACCACTCGGCTCTACGGACTCGTCCGAAGGTGGAGCTGAGAGCGAGTGACCTGTAGCCAGAGGAGTGGACTGTGGCGAGGACCAGGTGAAGCCGAAGCGCTTAAGGACCTGCTGCACCATGTGTGACTGAGTCAGAGTGATGGTGCGGCGTGCTCTGTCCCGGGTGATCTGCAAGCCAAGGTAGCTGCGCAGCTCACCCAGGTCTGTGCACGTGTGTCTCTTCTGCAGCTCCGACTTCACCAGGGCGAGAGCCTCAGTGTCAGCAGTGGCAAAGACCAAGTCGTCGACGTACACTAGGATGTAGAACGGCGGCAGCGAAGTGTCGGTGCGCAAAAACAGCGACGGGTTAGCAGTCGAAGGAGCAAACCCAAGAGCCGCAAGTGTAGTCCTCAGTGTGTCGTGCCACTCACGAGGCGCCTCGCGGAGACCGTAGACTGGCCGTCGGAGGCTCCACTGGGTGCCAGGCAGGAACGACCCAGTGAAGCCAGGTGGGCGGCGCAGCCAGATCTCCTCGTGCAGGCTGCCCTGTAAGAAGGCTGTGCTGAAGTTCAGTGAGTGAAGCTCGTAGTCACGCTGAGCGACAATGTGCAGCAGCACCCGAAGAGTGGTGATCTTGGGCTGACGACCAGGCTACGCAGCGGTCGTCACAGGGTTACACCTTCAGCCTTGGTTCCGGCTCTTGCTCCATCCGCCGCCAATAAGTACGCTGTCGAGTGCCGAATACCACAGCAGTGGGCTCTGTTTGAGACCGTACAAACTTTTCAGAAGCTTGCAGACGCGAGATGTACCGTCGTTGTAGTGCGATGGCTGCTCCATGTACAGAACTCGATCCAGTTTGCTCTGCAGGTATGCGTTTTTCATGTCCAGTTGCATGATGTGCAGATTGAGTACCGCGACGATGGAGAGGAAAATGCGCAGTGTTACGTAGCTGCCAACCGGGGAATACGTCTCATCGTAATCCGCGCCATAAATCTGCGTAAATCCCTTTACGACGAGCCGTGCCTTCTCGCGAGCGACCGTGTCGTCGGCGTTGTACTTTGTCGTAAGAACCCACCGGTTCTTCATGACATTGACTCCGCGCGGTCGAGGCACCAACTCCCATGTTCCGTTGGCGAGGAGGCTACGCATCTCCTCATCCATTGCTGCTTTCACCGCCTTCCCCTTCCAGCTCGCAAGCGCTTCCTTGACTGTCATCGTTCCGATATCCCACCGGCGTTCAGGATCAGCGTGCACATGGGGATCCAGTTCTAACAGCGTGGTATCCGCATTTGCGTCATCGAGAAGCGTGTTCGCGAATACCGGGCACACATCGGCCCATTTCTTTGGAGGCACACCAAAGTTGGAGCGGGTGGAATGCCGTGTCGGCGGCTTAATTTCCACCACATCGCTCGAAGAACTGTCTCCAGACGACTCCCCTGCAGCGTCGCCGATGACCTCCACAACGTCGCTCGACGTGCTGCCGCTGATCTGCTCCCCTGTCATCTGCTCCCCTGCCGGTTTCTGCATACTAGGTGCCGGTTTCTGCATACCAGGCGCGCCATCCGCCGAAGATGCGGCAGGTCGACCGTCGACGATGCCGATGCGCGGCGCCGAAGGTAGCGCGGCAGGTCTCCCCTCATCGTTGTCGGTCGACTTGGACGGGGTGCCGGCGGTGGGAGGTAGGCTTTCTGCAGCTGTCAGCGGAGAGGAGAGGACAGCAGGCGAGGAGGAGGTTGACGGTTTGGTGACCGGTACCACACGCGGGTACACCGGTGGAAGGGAAGAGCTGGGGATGGATGTGGGGACGTGCGGAAGTGCAGGAGCTGAAGCCGGGGCGTCAAGCGGATCGTCGATCTCATCAGCGAGGAGTCCGGGTGACAGAGACGATGCCCTAGAAGTGAATACCTTGTGGGCACTTCCGGGTTTGCGCTCTGCTTTCCAGTCATCCAGCGACTGCGTTTCGTAAAATATCACCTCCACAGTGGTAACGATGCGGTTGGCAGCGAGATCCAGCACCTCCCAACCTTTGCTCGTGGGAGAGACGCCAAGATGAAGACCCCAACCAGCTTTCGGCGCGAGCTTCCCACCGCGCTGATGTTGCGGGACCATGTATTGCACCATGCAACCCCACACTCGGGCCATGGTGAGGTCCGGCTTCGCTTTGTACAGCAGCGTATGCGGTGTTGCTCCCGAAGGCAGTGAAGCACGCTCAATGCTGTTGCGTACCCACACGGCTTGGCGAAGCGCGAGGTGCCACCAATGGTGTGGCACGTTCATATGCAGAAGCATCGTCCGCACCGCTTCAACAAGTGTGCGCATTTCGCGTTCAGCCATACCATTCTGCTGCGGAGTATACGGACATGTCAAATAATGCCGCGCTTGTCGAGGAAGGCGGTGAAATCGCCACCCAAGAACTCCCCTCCGCGGTCAGAACGGATCATCTTCACCGTCAGCTGGCTTTGTCGCTCCACCATCGTCAGCCACTTTTCGAATTTCTCCAAAGCGTCACTCTTCCGCGTGAGAGTATACGTCCACACGAAGCGCGTTTTACGGTCTTTCAAGAGAAGAAAGTAGCGACTTCCGTCCTTTGCAGCAACTCGAAAGGGTCCGCAGACGTCAATGTGCACAACGTCCAACGCGTTTTCGGGTTCAGAACCTTGGTCGGGGAAGGTATGACGAACCAACTTTCCGCCAACGCAAGAAACGCATACCAGGTCCGCGGCAGACGGTGACGTGATCTCCAACCCAGCTGCCGCGCCATGTGCAGCTGTGCGTTTAATCGTATCGATGCCCGCGTGCGCAAGTCGTGCATGCCAAATGTCCGCCGACGAATTCGTAGACGATGCAATCGTCCGCAACGCGACCGTCTCCGTCGGCGGCGGCGTCGGCTGCGACGAACACGGGCGGAGGTCGGTGCAGAGAACGCGGCCGGTGTAGCGCGCGCGACCGAGAACCGCTCCCTCAGCAGATACGAGAACCGTTTCGTCGCCGGCGTCCTGAAACTGCACACCACTGTCCTTCAACTGTCCAGCTGACAGCAGATTTGCCTGCACACCAGGCACATACAGCACATCGGGGATGAGAACCTTCGTGCCCGCTGCCCCTTGAAGAGCAATTGTGCCGCGCCCCTGTACGGGTTGAATAGCTCCGTTGAATCCTCGCACATGATGAACGTCGCCTTCCGCATTCATCTCCACAAACGCTTCACGCGTCCCCATGAGGTGATGAGAACACCCACTGTCGAGGAGTACCACGGTCGGATTTGCTTGCACAGCTGCAGCGACCGCCTGGAAGTCCTCGCCTGCTTCCGGAGCCAAGGAAATGGTCGGTTCCGCAGATGCGTCCGTCACCACACCGACCATCGAACACGATGCTTGCCCTTCATGGTGCACGTCGTCACTTGGGGCGTCCTTCGCACCCTTTCCGCGGGAGGTTCCGGCATCCGACGGCTGCTTATCCTTGGAATCGGAGTGCTGTTTGTTCTTGCGGTATGCGGTTTCGCGACGAGGTTGACGGTTTTGCGATCGTCCGCGCGGGGCTTCCTGACCATCGCCATCCTCCTTATTGACGCGGTCGGGGCACTGATTCGCAAAGTGCTCGGGATCTCCACAAACGAAACAATATCGCTGAGAGTTGCGCTTTCCGCCACCGGAACGCTCGTCGCCCTTGGTCGTCTTCGCGCGGTAGACGTTTTTCTCATTGTCGCCTCCCCCGCGCGACTTCCCCCACTTTTGTTGCTGACGCTGCTGCTTTGACGCGACAAAGTTGACTTGAGGGAGAAGCTGCTCCTTGCGCCGCTCGGATTCAAGGGTGAACTCCTCCTCAATGATGTAGCTGGTAAGCGTATCCTCATCGAGCTCTTCGCGTACACCCGGGAGTTTCACCATGCGACGAAGGAGATTGTAGCTTGCAGGAAGACCTTTGATGACATGCGTAACGTACGAGGACATTGCGTAGTCGACGCCGGCCATGCGCAGATCTGCAAGTATCTGTTGTGCGCGATTGCAGTATGCGGTTGCGCTTTCGTGCTCCCCCATCCCCAGATTCGTCAACCGTTGCTCCAGCTGGCCGATGTAAAGGTCATCCGTTGCCTTGTAGGTCTTCATTATGAATTGCCAAGCTTGAAAACCTGCGTCTACCCGAAGACGGCAAGGCTTCAATGCAATTTGAACGACCGGCGAGCAACACCTTGAGATGACCATAAACGTCAACAGTTGTGCAGAATGAAACTGTGCGCGCCGTTCCGCATCCTCCTCAGGTGGCACCTCCACCGTTCCGTCAACGAACTTCAGTTGCGCAATCTCCAACTGCGGCTCAATGGACTCGACCCACGTTGTCAAGTCGTGACGCCCTTCAAGCGGTTTCGGCACGACGATCTTGTCGGGTGAAAACTTGAAGTATCCGTATTCCGGAGCGATGCCACCATCGCGTACGGTTGACGCATTTGCTGCCAACGAGGGTCCGCCACCACTCCGTCGCACAGAGTTGCGATAACCATGCGCGTCACTACGCGCACTCGCTGCAGCTGCAGATCGAAGAACTTGCGCTTGCGTTCCACCGACGCTCGCGGTGTTCACTCTGACGGCTCCACGCAGTTCACCGCGCGTAACTCGTGCGCCTTCATTGCCATCGATGTTGACATTGTTGCCTTCAGCACGGGGAGAAGCGGACTCAATTTCCGCATCAGCACGAGGAGGTGGGTGATCGCGAGCCCATTTCGCACGAGCTCCTTCGATCATCAGCTCCAGATCCGCGTCGCTGATTTCGCCACCGCTGTGGCGCTCCCGCAAAGCAGCGACCTGCGCTTCCAGGTCCATGACTTCCGTAGCGGCGCCCTCGCCAGCCATACGGAATCAATGTGGCTGCTGGCCCAAGGTTGACAACTTCGTCAATCGTACTCGAGGCTATCTGAATTTCGCGTGTGCGTCCACGCTCACCGCACCATGCGGAGAATAGGCGATTATGGGAGAGCCTAGGCGCAGAGTTGCAAAGCGGATGCTTGTAAACCGAATACGGACTTGCTGGAAACCGAATACTGAAGCCAACTTGGTATGCAGTAACGGAAAGAAAGAACTTCATTAATTGATTGATTACAACAGAAACAACATGAACCATAGAGAGCGACATAGTGACGTGTGCAAGAACGTTCTACGAGAACGTTGTTCATGAAGAACGTTGTTCAAGGAGAACGTGCAAGCACCTACTCTAGAATGCGGTTCCAGGTTGGCACCGCCAGGTGAAAATACCATCAGGTGAAAATACCGTCAGGTGTATTTCTACCTGCCTACGAGTAGTTGCGCAGGTTCTTGCAACACTGACAGTTGCACATACGCGTTTGTGCAATGTCGTCACTTCCCTGGTCCAATGTCGAAATGCGCATACCGAAGCGCACAGACTGGAGTGTACTTGGCGAATACCGCAATACTGGTAAAACCGGTATGCGGTATGCGAAGCCTCGCTACTCCGCATAGGGCTGCTACACGCGAAACCAGGCGCGTGCAGGGCTTCGCCTTAACAGTGCCATGATGACGGCGACTGCAAGGCTTTTGGAGGAGATTGTGAGCGTTGGGACGAGATTAGCGGTTCGGTTCGATGATGCCAGGAGGGAGCTGGAAGCGGAACAGCGGCAGAGAAGAGAATACTTTGAGAGCCCGATGCTAGCTGATAAGTTTGAAATTTTGGAGAAACTTCTGAGAGAAATGAGGGAGGAGAATATTAAGAGCATTACCGAACTGAAGAACGAGCTAGCAGCTGAGAGGGAGGAGAGTAACAAAAGCATAACCGAACTGAAGTATGAGCTAGCAGCTGTGAGGGAGGAGAGTGATAAAAGCATAACCGAACTGAAGAGCGAGCTAGCAGCTGGGAGGGAGGAGATTAATGAAAGCATTACTGAACTGAAGAACGAGCTAGCAGCTGAGAGGGAGGAGTGTCATAAAAGCATAACCGAACTGAAGTATGAGCTAGCAGCTGAGAGGGCTGCAAGGGAGGAGAAAGAAAAGGAGGTGGCTGCACTGACAGCGCGACTTTCGCAGGCAGAGGAATCGCTTTCGCAACAGAAGGAAGAAACGTGCAAGATTCTGGAGGTGAGCGAATAAAGTTTCTTGAAGAATGTAGCCGAAACGCATGTAAATGCATGAGTCCCTAATTTCTCCAGCTCTTGTTGTGTCGACTTCAGGCTATTCCTCGGGCTTCGTATCAGTCAACAACCAGTATAGATGCACAGGATGAAACACGGGCTTTACGGAAGGAGATCGAAAATCTTGTGACTGCATTGACAGCACAGTCGGCGCAGGCAGAGAAAACGCGGGTGCAGCAAATGGAGGAGACGAGGAAGGTCTGGGAGGTGAGAGGTTAGGCCGTTAGAGGCTTTTGTTTGAATCATGTGCAATTTCGTCCGTTTCCCATTGCTAATCTCTAAAGCATTGTGATGCTTTCAGGCTATTTATGTCACTTCGCAGCAGCGAACGACCAGATCTGATGCGAAGATCATTCTTGCTGATCAAAACACAACGTTTGTGAAAGTGGACAGGTGGACAGATGAGGCACTAACTGACTGTGGACTTCTTCACCTTCCTTACTTGACATCCCTAAAACGCCTCGAGTTATCCTATTGTGTCCCCAATGCGGCTTTGGGGCGTCTCTACACCATGACATGGTTGGAGGAGCTGAAACTTGAATCTGACAATTTTGACGATTCGGTGATTCTGGGAATCAGCAACCTGGCGGCCCTTCGTCGACTAGAACTGGTATCTACACGTGCTTCAGATGATGGGCTGGCTCATCTGACATGCCTTCGGTCCCTCAAAGCCCTCGTTCTTTCACGCGGTAATTACATCGCATCGGCTGGCATGGTGCATGTGGGGAAGCTGACGTGGTTGGAGGAGCTGAAACTCGAATCGCACAATTTCACTGATTCTCTGTTTCCGGAAATCAGCAACCTGACGGCTCTTCGTCGGCTTGAACTGATAAGTACAAATGTTTCAGCCGATGGGATGCCTCATCTGACATGCCTTTGCTCCCTAAAAGTCCTCGTTCTTGCACCAGGCAAAAACATATCGTCGGCTGCAGTGGCGCATGTGGGGAAGCTGACGACCCTTGAAGCTCTTGATTTTGGTATGTTGCATGTTATGGACGAGGTTTCAGCCGATCTTGCACCTCTGTCAAAGCTGACATGGCTTGCTCTGCCAGAGCGTGTGACTTACCAGGGCATGAAGCACCTCGCATCTTTCACATCTCTCAAAACCATTTGGTTGAGGTCTTCCTATTATGATACCCAGTGTGTCATTAAGTGCTTGACGACTCTTCCTTGCCTTGAGACGGTTGGAGTAAGGGACAGTCAGACAGCACAGGTGGTCATGGGTTTATCGAGACTAAGGCAAAGGAGATGACAGTAGGGTGCTCAGCACGAAACAGGTCAGACTCAGGGTCCGGAACAACAGGCAGAGAAGACGCAGGAGAAGACGGCAGAGGAACACGCTGCGGAGGAGAGGAAGGACGACGGACTACAAGGGAAGGGCCGGGGACAGCCGGCGGACGCTGACGAGGAACACGACGACTGGAACGACCAGAACGGACAGGTGAGACAGGACGCGACGCAGGCTCACGACGCTCAGCAAGGCCCCCTGTCTGCTCAGCGTAAGGAGAAGGAGCAGGCAGAGGTGAGCCAGGCTGTAACGGAAGACCAGTAGACGACGGGAGGCTAAGAACCTGACGAAGTACGGAGTCAGGCGGTGGCAGAGACGACGGAGACGGTGGAGCAAAGAACAGGCGCGGCTGTGCAGTGCCACCAGCACCAGCAGCTCCAGCACCCTCAGCAGCTCCAGCACCTCCAGTAGCTCCAGCACCCTCAGCAGCTCCAGCACCTCCAGCAGCTCCAGTACCTCCAGCAGCCCCAGCACCTCCAGCAGCTCCAGCACCCTCAGCAGCTCCAGTACCTCCAGCAGCTCCAGTACCCTCAGCAGCTCCAGTACCCTCAGCAGCACCCCCAGAACCGGCACCTCCAGTCCCAGGGTCTCCAGCCTCCGTGTCCCCAGCAGCAGCACCCTATGTTGGAAAAAACGCGTATTGCGTTTTTCACGCAAGCGTTTTTTCCAGAGAGTATATACGAGAAACGCGAGAATATGAGAGGCATATACGCAGCAAAAACGCAGGTCTGGGCAGGGGTAAAAAATTTTCGGGGCAGCAAAAAAACCATGTTTAGGGGGGGGGGGGTTAAAAAAAAAAACTCCCATCACATTTTATTAATACGCCTACTACAAAAGAAAATGACCGACTAAACATTCCATGTTAGCATCACTACCTCTTTCCCTCTCCCTACAGGACACTATTCTCATACTACTACATAGTGCATCCTACACCCCCCCCCCGCCCCTTGTTGCATTGCACCTACTACACATCAAGGTACTTCCCCCTCCCCCACGGCAGGAAAGCAAGCACTTCTCAAATTGAGGACTACTCATACTCATCGTTCATGATGACATCCTCCCCCTGGTCCGCCTCCTCCTCCCACCCCTCTTCTGCCACCTTGTACCCCTCGGGAAGGGGAGAGGGGCCTCAATGTTGCCCGTGACCACCCCCTGGCCCTCCGGGACGGTGTACCAGTTGTGCACAACTTTCCAGTTGTGCGCAACGTACACCAAATCCCGGCACTTTTCAGAGCCAAGGCGGTTGCGCTTGGCGGTGTACACCCCGTCCCACACCGCCCAATTCCGCTCGCACGACGAGGCGGACACGGGCTGCGTGAGCGAGCGGCATGCGAGCGTCGCCAAGTGAGGGTAGTCCGTCCCGTGCCACTCCCACCACTGGAGAGCAGTGTGGGTCCCTGCTTTCACAGCTTCGCGATCAGCAATCGCTGCAGGCATGCCGAAACTCCCCTCCAGGTTCAGGAATGCCGTGAGCCCTTCCTGCAAGACAAGGGAGGCACGACGCTCTTCACCATCCTTGCTTGTGATGGTGAAATCGTCGTAGTGCTTGGAGATGTAGGCTTTCAGAACACGGGTGCACTCCACGTCGTTGCGGAAAATGCCCTCCTCCTGGTTGGCCGGGTTTAAAATTCGGCCAACCACATGCATGGGGCATGCCAAACCCTCATCCCACCTTGCCTTCACAATCTTCCTGATCTCCCCCATCTCCCCCCGCGTCAGGAACTCGTCGCCCTTCGCCTCGAGGATGTCGTGCACATCCTCGGTGAGCTGCAGCATCAAGTCGTAAAGCCGCCCCATCATCCCTTTGGCGGTGCCGTCCGTGGCGCGCATCACCTTGAAGGGAGCCTCCATCAGCACCGTGAAGAATTCGGCCACCTTCCACCATTCCGAGTCGAGGATGTACCCGTGAAACACCTCCGCGCTCGCCCTCCTTCCCCCTGTCGCCCAAGGCCGCCATTCCTCGCTCAAGACCATCTGCAGCAGAGACATGCGGAGCTCGACCAGGCGTGAGACCGTGATGAACTGGGTCCCGAAGCGGGTCCCCGCAGGCTTGAGAACCTGCTTGCCTTTGCCGTCGTTGACGAGGGGGCTCCGCAAGTAGCCACGCGTGAAGTGGTGGCTACGAACGAAGTTTATGATCTCGGCCGCCCGCGTGACCACCACCCTTGCCCAATTCATCTTCCCAATGTCCTCCATGAGGAGATCGAGGACATGGGTCGCGCACGGGACTTGTTCGAGGTGTGGGAACTCCACCATGAGTTCCCGGCATGCCGCAGCGTAGTTCGAGCCTCCATCCATGCAGAGTGCCACCACGTTCTCGGCTCCCACCTTTTTAATGATCGGCCTCAACATCCCCGCAATGTAGCCGCCTGTTTTCATCTCCATCTGTGTGTCGACCGCTTCGGTGAAGACGGCACCGCTGTCGTTTATGAGCAGCACGTTTGCTTGTGGGCGGCCCGAGGCGTCGGTCATCATGTCTGAAGCGATGGTGACGCCGTTACGGCGCCAGCTTGCGGCGATCGGCGCGAGAGCGACCTCGATGCGTTGCCGGCAGTTTCGGAGGCCGGCTCCTCCGATGAAGCGTCGCTTCGGTGGCATGTATGAACCACCCGCGCGTGCGATGCAGGAAACCGCGTTGCGCCACAGTGGGTGGTCTGCATGATGCTCGGGAAGACGGAGGGCCGCGAAGAGAAGGCAAATTGAGTCATCCGCCTCCTTCTTAGCGCACGTAGATTCATCGCCGTAGAAGTCCGTCATGCGACTCTTTTTTGGCGCGCCCGCAGAGTTGGAAACCGCGGCAATAGCGGATCGCTCCGCCGATCGCTTGTTGTCGCGGGCCTTCTGCTTGTCCTCGTAAACCGCCTTGATGCCATCACGCGCCGACTTCGGCGCGTCGGAGCACAAGCGCACTTCACGACGCCGCATGCCGTTCCAGCCGGTGATGTGCTGGGCGCACCGGTACATCCCGCCGTTGAACTTGAATGCACAATAAGCGCATACCTTGGACGCGGTGAGGGCGTTATCCACACCCACAGCAACCTTGAAGTGCTTGAACACGGCGTGGTCACTGTCCATGATGTACAGGAGAGTGCTCTCGCACACGACGGAACTACCACGAGGAGCTGAAGTCGGGTTGATGGGAGGAGTCATTTCTGCAACGGAAGCCATGCTTCCAAAACGCTAGAACAACTACTAATCTGAGAGAGGAATGATTGACGAGTGAAGGAACGCCTTCATTTATGCCTGGAAAGAAGAGGTTGGGGGATGAACTGCCAGACATCATTTGGTTGGAAGGGGTTGGAAGTGAATGCGGTGAAGTGGGTTGTGCAGGGGTGTAACATTTGTGGGGTCGCGACTCGGGGAGCACGAAATCGAAATTGGTGAGCAAGTAACTCGATTTTGGCCCGCACGTGATTCGATTTTGCGATACGCAGAAAACGACCAAAATACGCACCTTTTTTTTTTTTAGGTCTGCCCGTGCGGATTTTTGCGTTTCTACACAAAAAACGCAGCGTACGCGTTTTTGGTGCGTTTATACTCAAAACGCAACTGAACTTTAGCGTTTTTTCCAACATAGGCAGCACCCCCAGACCCAGGGTCTCCAGCAGTAGCACCCTCAGGCTCAGCAGCACCTCCAGCCCCAGCAGCTCCAGTACCTCCAGTACGAGCACCTCCGGGACCAGCACCACTCCCAGCTCCAGTGACGTCAGCAGAAGTACCTCCAGCGGCAGAGCCGCGAGCTCCAGAAGCGCGACCCTGACGGCGACCGTACCAGTCGTGCAGCTGCTGTGAGGTGAGAGGCACACGCGGACGAAGGCGGCTACTCCAAAGAGACCGCGCAGCAGCAGACTCAGAACCCTCAGGCGTTGCACCCCCAGACTCAGTACCCCCAGGCTCCTCACGCTCAGGCTCAGCACCTCCAGACACAGCACCCCCAGGCTCAGGACCTCCAGTCTCCTCACGCTCACGCGCAGCGCCCCTAGACTCCGCACCTCCCGGCTCAGCACCTCCTGGGTCCTCACGCGCAGGCTTTGCACCCCCAGGCTCAACACCCCCAAGCTCCGCACCCCCAGGCACAGCACCCCCAAAGACAGCACCACCCCCAGCAGGACCTGAGTCACCAGTGACCTCAACAGGCGCAGGCACGGGAGGGTCTACCTGAGAAACACCTGAAGGAGCAGGACCTGGCGCGGGGAGGGGGTCTACCTGGGGAGGACCTGGGGCGAGAAAGAGCGGCGGGGGGGGGCGAGGGGCAGTGCGGTAGGGAAAGAGACGATAAAAGGGGACGGACTCGTCAAAAGTGACGTCCTGAGACGGAAAGACACGGCGCGAGGCGGGGTCGTAAAACTGCCAGCCAGGCGCGTCAGGGACAAAGCCAAGGAAGACGCAAAGAATGGCGCGAGCGGAGAGCTTGTCCGCGGTGGTATCGCGGACAAAGGCACGAGCACCCCAGACTCGGAAACGCGACGCGTCGCCAACCTTCCCCATCCACAGCAGTGTGGGCGAGGTCTTCGGCAAGGAGACACGGGGCCAAAGGTTGAGCTGATGCGCGGCGTACCGGACCGCAAACGGCCACAGAAAATGGGGGGCAGCCGCATGGATCATGGAGGTACGAGCGACCTCCATGACTAAGCCAATGTGGCGCTCAGCAACCCCATTCTGCTGCGGAGAGGCCGGAAGCGTGAAAGTCTGGCGGATGCCGTGCTCCGCACAGTAGGCCGCCAAGAGGTCTGAGGAGAACTCACCACCTCTGTCAGAGTGCAGACGCAGGACAGGAAAGTCCGACTGAAACCGCTCGCGGAGCTGGAGACGAGTAGCACGGATCCAGGGGATCAAAACATCAGGGACCTCCCCCTTGCGCTGCAAGGGGAAGACCGTGGTGTAACGCGTGTAGTCGTCGACGACCAGCAGGAAGTACCGCTCGTGGCCCTGTCCACGGACGCGGGCGGGGCCCCACACGTCCATGTGGAGAGTCTGCAGGGGAGCCTCTGTGGGAGGAAACGAGGAGTGAGGAGCGGCGCGCTGCCGCCCCTCGACGCAAGGAATGCAGGGCGGCACAGGCGAAGGAGGGAGGGCAGGCAGAGACCTGGGAAGGCCAGAGACCAGGTAGCGAGAGTGCATGCTACGAAGGCGAGGCAGGGAGGGGTGACCAAGGCGGTGGTGCCACAGGAGAGTGTCGTGCGACAGGCTGCGACACTCACAGTGGGTAGCTACCTGAGCAGACGCGTACAGCTGGGGGGACAAAGGGGTTTAGCGTGACGCAGTGGTGAGGGTGTACAGACTAGACCCAGGCGCACGTGTGAACGTGGCCAGGTGACGGCCGGTCCTGGAGCACGTGCAGATCGCCACACGCTGTCCTCCAGGAGTAAAGGTGTCAACCCAGTGATCCTGAAGGACGGCGTTGCTCACCAAGTTCGTAGAGAACGAGGGGAGGTGGAGACCAGACAGCTCACCAGACGGGACCGCCGGACACGGAAGCACAGTGGAAGACCGTGCAAGCACTGGGCCCCCAGAGGGGTTAGCCAGTGAGACAGGAACAGGTGCAGGGAGGGGAGAGACTGTGGTGCTGTCGCGAAAGAAACAGCGGGAAGCACCAGAGTCAAGTGTGAAGGTGTGCAAGGCCTGTGCGGACGCAGTACCAGGGGGAGCAGACTCACAAGCACCTAGTGCCACAGGCGCTATACCTGGGGCAATACCTGGGTCAGGCGGCACACACAAGTAGCAGTCACCCTCAGCATTAACAGTCAATGCATACATGGCAGCAAGAATAGCCTCATAGTCAAGATCAAAGATAGGTACATCACGCCTAAGCAGGTCTGCCCAGTTGGGGAACTCTGTAGCATCAGGAAACTTGGCGCGCCAGGCGTCGCTAAGCCGAGCGAAGCAGCGCTGCTCAGTGTGAAACCCTGTGCACGGGCGACCGGTGCGGGGACCTGAGCGGATGATATAGGGGCCGCGACCAGGACCCCCAGAAGCCCCACGCCCGGCATACCAGTCTAGAAGCTGCTGGGAAGTGGGGGTCTGGCGCTGACGCTGCTGCTGCTGCTGCTGCGACTGCTGCTGGCCCTGACCACCACTGCCACCACCGCTCCCTCCGCCCCCACCGCCGCTGCTGCCACCTCCACCGCTCCCAGTGCCTCCGCTGCCCCCACCACCACCTCCACCACCTCCACCCCCACGACCTCCTCCACCACCTCCGCCTCCCCCGCCGCCACCTCCACCGCCACCTCCACCGCCACCCCCACCTCCCCTACCACCCTTGCCGCCCCTGCCACTGCGACGCTTCCCACTAGGAGCGGAAGCAGCCCCGACCTCCTCAGCACCAAGGTAGTCGTGAGCAGCAGCTGCGGAGGCGTAGGAGGGGGTGAAAGGGGAGGGGGAGCACCCCTCAAAGAGGGGAGAGCGAGGAGTTCCACGAGCAGCACCTACAGCGAGGATGGTCTTCTCTGCTGCAAGGAGGTGCGTCTCGAAGTCGTCGACAGTGAGAGTGGGGGGGTCTAGTGCTAGGAAGTGGTCCCTGACGGAGCTAAGAGTGTCAGGGAGGCGGGTGACGAGGAAATAGAGAGTGAAGTACATCGGGGGGGGGTTGGCAGCGCAGAACTCGGCTGAAAGGGCGGCACGAAAGCGAGTGTCAGTAGCGCGCAGGTGGGAAATGAGGTCGTCAGCAATGGTGAACGAGGAGAGGTCGGGGAACAGGTAGGGTAGCATGAGCCGACCTATAGCTGCAGTGGCCGGGGAGGAGTAGCGCGCAACTACAGCATCGTACAGCGTCTTAGCAGTTTTGTGCTGGCTGAAATGCGCGCGCTCAGTAATCGGCAGATGATTCCTAATAGCTAGGCGCGCAGCAGCATCGCGAGTCTGCCACTGCGAGCGTTCGAGAGCAGGAGCATCGGCAGCAGGAGCAACGGCAGTGCCAGACACGTAATCGAACAGTGAAACGCCCTCTTTGGCATCAGTCAGAAGGAACAGTTGGAGGTCGTCTAACCACACAGCGAACTCTATGGGGCGACCGTCAGGCTCGAACGCGAGAACGTTAGGCGTCGTCATAATGACGGCAGGCAAAGGCAGTAGGCAGCAGGCAGCAGACAAGAGGCAGTAGGCAGCAGGCAGGAGGCAGCAGGCAGTAGGCAGCAGGCAGTAGCGGCCGCACGTGAGCTCCTAAAGCAGTGCGCTAGGCAGCAGCGGGCCGCTCAGGTGGCCGTCGTGACGCGTGGGCTGCAGGCGCGGCGCGCGGCTCGGCGCTCGACTCGGCGGCGGGCCGCGCTGGCGACAGACGCGGCGCGCAGGGCGACGGCGGGCCGCACGCGACAGCGGGCTGCGTGCGGCGGCGGGCTGCGTGCGGCGGCGGGCTGCGCGGGCTCGACGCGGGATGCGCAGGCGACGCGGGCGCGAAAAAGCGACGCGCGAGCAGCCTAGGCGCGCGCGAAAAAAAAGTGACGCGCGCGCGCGAGCAGCCGAGGCGCGCGCGAGAAGCAGGCAAGGCAGGCAGGCAGTAGGTAACAGCGGTACGGGTGGGCCCTATTCTTAGGTCCTAGAGACTTCCTGCTCTGATACCATATCGAGACTAAGGCAAAGGAGATGAATGAATTATTAGGGTTTGGTACAAGAAGTATAACCTAAGGGGTTGTACCCCACTGTGAGTACCCCACTAAAAGCCTAACCAAACTACAACATATAGCTATATGTTTGACAGGGTTACCTTCCTAATGTGAACGTTACTGTCATCGCCAGCCAGTCTGAGTTTTATCCTGCATAGTGATAGGTAGGTAGGTACAAAGAACTTCTCAGCTCTGCTTCGAGTGCATGCTCTTTATTTCCAGTAACACTGTATGTGTTACTGCCTTCAATTCATGTGTGGTACCATACAAACAATCAACTTAACATAGATTTTCCTTGGAATAATTACCATAGCAGTGAACAGTTTAAGATACCAATATCAATCAAATAAAACTCGTTGTTGGAGTACATCAGTACAATTTGAGCAAATTCTTGATTCTCGGGTTGATCAGGGCACTTGCTGCCCCTGTCCCTGACCTCTTGAGCACACGTGCGGCACAGCATGTGCCCACACGGCACGAACGCTGCCTTCCTTGGCCTCTCCATGCACACACAGCACACCGCCTCCCCAGGCTCCCCCTCCACCCCTCCCATCCTCTTCTCCTCTCGCCTCTTTCACCAAACCTCCTCCCCTCGCCTCCTACCGCCACGATTGCTACCACTCACCAGCTCATCGCCTGCAGCACCGGTATCCCCAGCAGCTTTAGTGCTGACAAAGCTGAATTTAGAGTTTAAAAAAGACAACCACGCCCTTGTAGTCTTGACTTCTCCCGCACGACTTAACAGGGAGCCCATGTGCACTCCGGTGGGCTAAGGTGTGCATACTGTGTAGGCAAACACAAGGTAAAGCTGCGCTGGCCACAGTCATTTGAGCAGCACCTGTACAGCTGATGCAGCCGCCATTGCGTTGGTGCTGCTGGATTTACTGGAGGAGCTTCACCTGCTGCTGGTTTCCCTCCCCTTCTGCTTCTCCATCGTCGTTAAAAACAACCTCATTAGCCTCACTACGTGACTTACACTTCCTGTGTCACAAATGGCTCCTCCTCTACTCCCACTCGCTCCTGCTCTTCTCCCACTCTCCCATCCACCCCCCTTCTCCCTTCCTCCCTTCGTCAGGTGGACGAAGCGCTCTACTTCAAGTTCGGTGCTGATGGAGTTGGTTGCTGGCTGCTCGTCTACGTTGACGACTTGCTCGCCGCAAGTAGCAGCCTCGAGATGCTGAAGGACCTCCGTGAGCTTCTGCAAAACGCATTCGAGCTGCGGGAAATTACCCCCGTGCAGAAGTATTTGGGGCTGGAGATTGTGCGCGACAGGTCTGCGCGAAAGCTGTGGCTGCACCAAAGTGCATACGTGGACAAACTGCGTCGCCGTTTTGTGGATGAAGAGCAGACAGGCCGTCGCCCGAAAACGCCTATCTCGGTCGACGCGTACGCCGAGCTGACATTCGATGACGAGGAGTATCAGGCTCGTGAAGAGGAAGAGTATCGCCAGAAAGTGGGATCGCTCCAGTTTGCCGCAACTACGACCCGTCCCGACATCGCATACGCATGCAGCAAGTTGGGCTCGGGGTTGACGATTCGCAGTGACCAGCACTGGAGGGAGCTGGACCGCTGCATTGACTACGTGGTGGACACCCACGATCTCGCCCTCGAGTTCGGTGGTGGACTGGATACTCTGCGCCTGGTGGGGTATGCGGATTCCGATGATGCGGGTGACCGGCAGACGCGCAGCAGTACCAGCGGATACGTTTTCGTGCTTGGCGGAGCTGCGGTTTCGTGGGCAAGTCAGAGGATTAAGTGCATGACGTTGTCCTCAACGGAATCCGAATACATTGCTGCAACGGAGGCCGGCAAGGAGGCGCGCCGTTTGCGCTTTCTACTCGCTGAATTTCGGCTTCTAGATGCTGGGTGCCGACTGTCATCCACGTGGACAACTCATCTGCGATTGCGGTTGCGGAAGGATTGGGGCTCAAGGGGAGTCTCAAGCACATGGAGAGGCGGTACATATGGCTCCAGCAGATGGTGAAGCGCAAGAAAATCGCGCTTACGTACATTCCAACGAGCGAGCAACCCGCGGACTATCTCACGAAGGCGCTGCATTCCCCGGCATTCAAGCGCTGCTCTGTTGCCGTTGGGCAAGTCGATCTTGCAGACGACGCGCGTGACAATGCGCAGGATTAGGTGGCATGTCCTTCAACATGGCTGGTGCGGTGAGTATGCGTGTGCGGAAACACGCGGACGAGTATCAGGATCGTCACCCTGTTGTACTCTATTATTTCCTTTCGCTTTGTGTGGTGTGCTAACTCCTCAGTTGCCCAGGCACGAGCAGGGCAGGGGAGTGTTAAGGCGAAGCCCTGCACGCGCCTGGTTTCGCGTGTAGCAGCCCTATGTGGAGTAGCGAGGCTTCGCATACCGCATACCGGTTTTACCAGTATTGCGGTATTCGCCAAGTACACTCCAGTCTGTGCGCTTCGGTATGCGCATTTCGACATTGGACCAGGGAAGTGACGACATTGCACAAACGCGTATGTGCAACTGTCAGTGTTGCAAGAACCTGCGCAACTACTCGTAGGCAGGTAGAAATACACCTGACGGTATTTTCACCTGATGGTATTTTCACCTGGCGGTGCCAACCTGGAACCGCATTCTAGAGTAGGTGCTTGCACGTTCTCCTTGAACAACGTTCTTCATGAACAACGTTCTCGTAGAACGTTCTTGCACACGTCACTATGCTTCTCTATAATGAAGTTCATGTTGTTCTTTCTTTCTGTTACTGCATACCAAGTTGGCTTCAGTATTCGGTTTCCAGCAAGTCACTAGAGGAGCAAACCTACACGCTTCTTAGGTAACTCTCTGGCTACGGAGAGATTCTGAAACTAGGTTTTGGGAGGCTGGCAGGGGGTAGCCACAGAATCGGAGGTGAACTTTCTGGTTATCGTTTGCTAGTACCTTTCAGGGAGCTGTAAGGGATTCTGCTCTGGTTTGGTATGTTTGTCTGGTGCGTTTCAGAAGGGTACCACTCGGTTCGGTGGAAAACCTTCCCTCCAACTCTCATCCAAACCAACCTGCACCACGCGAATCGTTTCAGATTGTAACCGAGCACGAAGTGTATTTCTGAGATGTCTACTTCGCTGCTGTTCGCAAAGCTCTTCTCATGACAGCTCGCAGCGATCATCATCACCACTTTGAAAATGGCTCTCACCAAACCAGACACGAGTTATTTTAGTAGGCAGCGCCTGGGTTGGTCGAACCACGAGAGCTCTGACGGCAGCCCTTGGCATACTGGTCTTCTGAAAGCTCAAATGACACTCGAGAGTCAACTGCAGGTTTAATTCCCCAGGGCGTGTTAAGACATACAACCGTTTAGGTTGTTTAGGCAGCACAGGTGGCATGGGAAAAAACACGAGAAAGAGCTGGATTCACACGAAGCTGCTAGGTCGAGAGCGCATAGTATAGCTCGAACCACCTTCTTATTTGAGGGAGGAGCCACATCCGCGAACGTCGCAACGTTAGCAACGGAACCTCTTCCTGAGTCAGGAATGCGATTTTCAGCGACGGGAGCTTCCGATTTTGCCGGTTCGACGGCGTAGATCTCGTCAAGGTCGAAATCAATCGACAGCAAAGCAACAGCATCAATTGAGTCCGCCGCGTCATCACAGCCGCATTACGCGCTACTGTTTCACCAGCAATGGGGTTTCCCAACCAGCAGCATCAGAATTTGAATCAGTAGCAGGAACCAGAATCAGCGTGGTCGTCGGCAATACCGAGGGCCGTGTTGGACCATTTGCCCGTGCACAGCCTCCCCCGGCCTCGCAACTCTCCGAACGAACGGCACCGCCGAAGCCCGACCCGGCAATCCGATGCCGGTGCTTCCAGCTTCTCTCCCTTCGCTTTTATCAATCCTCAGTTGCGTCACTTTCTGCCACTGGAGGGGGGAAATGCAATGCAGCGGAGCAGGAGAACAGAAAGAGAGATGAAATGAGGTGGGAGTGCGTGGGTGCGTGGATTGGCTGATGGAAAAGGAGGAGTATCCGTTCTGCGGCACCCCTGATGCTGGAAGCGATCAGCCAGGAGCTGTAACAGTTTCATGCCCTCATGCCGTCCCACTGGCTAATGTGAAAAGAATTTCGTAAGTGCACGTTGACACCTCCCCTTTCGAACCTTCCCCAATCGCGCCTCACCCAATCCGACCTACCCTTATTGCATCGCACCTCACTATCTTGCTCCTTACGCCATCGCGGCAACACTCTCTGTTCCCAGTGCCCCTGCCATTGATTCGCTCCAAACTTGGGTGCGCTAAGGCACTGTGTTACCATTATCACCTATGGGTGCGCTATGGTAACACAGTCTCTTACCATCATCACCACTACCACCATCAACGCTAAGACCATCCACTGATTTTTCACTCGTTCTGCCTGACTGTCATAGCATACAGCCTCTTTCCTTTTCTGACCAGGAGGTTTTGCCCTTCACTGATCACAATCCGTTTGGACCCATGGCACCTCCAGTTTCCCACGCTCTCATAATTCCCTTTGAGCTTTCTTATCTGATTTAATGCCAGTTTTCTTGCGCGCCAGCAATGCCCAAGGGCCCCAAACGTCGTCTCCCCCTTCTGTCCTTTCTGCCCCTTCTGCCCTTTCTGCCCCTCCAGCCCCTCTTGCACTTTCTGCCCGTTTTGCCCTTTCTGCCCATCTGCCGTTTCTGCCCCTCCTGCCCTTTCTTTCTGCCCCTTCTGCCCTTTTTGCCCCTTCTGCCCCTTCTGCCCTTTCTGCCCCTTCTGCCCTTTCTACCCTTTCTGCCCCTTCTGCTCTTTCTGCCCTTTCTGCCCTTTTTGCCCCGTCTGTCCTTTCTGCCCCTTCTGTCCCTTCTGCCCTTTCTGCCCTTTCTGCCCCTTCTGCTCTTTCTGCCCTTTCTGCCCCTTCTGCCCCTTCTTCTCTTTCTGCCCTTTCTGCCCCTTCTGCCATTTCTGCCCCTACCGCCCTTTCTGCCCTTTTTGCCCCTTCTGCCTTTTCTGCCCTTTTTGCCCCTTCTGCCCTTTCTGCCCTTTCTGCCAGCTCTGTACCTATGCACTGGGATCAAACGTCCCACCAGCTAAGTTTTGACCCATTGGTAGCAGCAGCAGCGACAGCGGCAGTGACATCGGTAGCAGCTGCAGCAGCATCGTCACTAATGAGCGGATGGGTGCTATTTTCCCCACCCACAGGGTTAAGAGGCAGGTGTAGAAGCACACGCTGCACCTTTTTAAACAGCTGTAGCACTGGCAGCAGCAGCAGCAGCAGCAGCAGCAGCCGTTGTTGCAACAATTGGATCGGAGAACAGAAGCAACAGCAACTCCCCTTCAACACCTACTTCTGTTGCAACAGAGGGGGTAGGGGGGAGATATGCAGGTGGTGTGCTGTGTGTGCATGGAGAGACCTAGGAAGGCAGCGTTCGTCCGGTCAGAGGATGTGCTGCATGTGCGCTCAAGAGGTTAGGGACAGGTGTGGCTGGTGCCCTCTGCAATTGGAAGATCCAGGATGTGCTCAACCTGTTCCAGTCCATGAAGTATTTCATGGTGTTTGAGAGGCTTCATGGTACGAGCAAATGTAGACATTTATATGTGGTTTAGTATGCATGCACGTGCAGCAGCGAACAAAGAGAGGACAATTACAAGTGTGCAGGGCGGATTACAGGACCGACCACTAAGGCTGGGGCAAGAAATTCGGTCATGAAAAATGCACCTTGATTTACCCGTGTACCATACAAGTTTGCTTGTACGACTATACCTCTGCCAATATACCAGGATAACAATTACTCTCGTGGCTCTATCTGGCAACCTACTTTGGTCCTCCTAGAACCTCGAGTCTAATTCATCAAAGTGACCTCATCCCAACCCAAGCCCACCCCTCCCATTCCTCTGGCCGACCTTCGCGCAAGCCCCCAAATTCTCTACCGTAGTTTGTCCCAGCCCAAGCCCCCCAAAGGGGGGCAAGTGAACTACACAGCACCAGTTTCATAAAAATGATGGGGATTTCAACATTCTAGAGCCAATCCACAGTAAGGCTCAAACTCCGCGGCCACGGTTACCTCCACATTAGGAAGGTCACATGAAGCATTCGTTGCTGTCTGCCTGTCTTTCATTCCAACCTTCTCAAGCAGGGCCTCAGAAGTCAGCGAAAAAAGGCTGATTTAGGTAAAAAAGGCTGAGATTTCAGACCTTTTTTAAAACTGAGGCTGTTGTTTCAGCAATTTGTTGAAAAAAAACAGGAAATTTTGTTAGATTTGTAGTGTAAAATGGTATAAAATGGGTAATTTGTCTGATTTTCAGCAATACGTTTTGTACCAACTCTGATTGTTCAGCCTAGGCCAAAACGAATCTGAGGCCCTGTTCTCAAGGCATGGAAGAACCTTCAAGCACTCGATGGCACGCTTGAAATCTTGGAAGTTATTCCTCAACCAAAGGGTCTTGAGGGATTTGAAGTGTTTCAGGTGCACCATGCCCTGGTCGGTGATGTGCTCTGGCAGACTGAGCCATGTCAGGCTGGACAGAGGAACAAGATGGGCGAGCCCATCATCTCCGACATCAGAGATACCAATATCCAGAGCTTCAAGACTCGTCAGCTTACCCACGTGCACCATGCAAGTTGAAAAGAAACTATCTGTGGCATGGTAAGATTTATTCTGGCCACGAGAAAGGACAAGTACTTTGAGAGACCCAAGGCACTTTAAACGGGGAAGCCCATGACCTGGAACCCGCGTCCCAATGAGCTCAAGTCGGCGGAGAGCTGACAGTCTGTCGATTCCCTCAATGTTATGTCCAGTAAAACCGCGTGACTCAAGTTTCAGCTCCTCCAGCCATGTCATGCTGTAGACGTTGCCCATGGCACTTAAGTCGTTGCAATAAGGAATTCTGAGGCTCTTTAGGGATGTCAAGTACGGGAGGTGACTTAGTGACTGGCCCGTCGTTGAAGCTCAGCTCCAAAACCGTTGTGTTAGGATGAGCATCAATTATCTTCACGTTAGCACGCGACAGCCCACTGGAGTTCGGACGCTTATTCGTAGTATTATAAATAGCCTGAGAACATCAGCACCTTGGAGATTAGCCCGGGAAACACAAAAGATGCGCATGCTCAACACAAACCCCTGACCAGATGACTACTCACCTTCCATACCTTCCTCGTTTGCTCCTTTTGCTCTTCCAACGCTTGAACTACCTGCGCCGACTGTGCTACCAATGTAGACACAAGTGATCCCGTATCTTCGTTTGAGATCGGAGTTTCATTCTGAGCAACTGCACCAGTTGTGGACTGACAGGGCTGAGTAATCGCCTGAAACCGGCACATCGTGAGAGAACGCTAAAACTGGGATGAGTAAACATCGTGTATTCGCGTTTAGGTAACACGAGTAGAGATTCGTCGCTCACCTCCCAAATCTTGCAAGTTTCGTCCTTCTGATGCGACAGCAACTCCTCTGCCTGCGAGAGTCGCACTGTCAGTGCAGCTACCTCCATTTCCTTCTCCTCCCGTGCAGCCCTCTCACAGGCTAGTTCATTCTTGAGTTCGCTTATGCAGTTTTTGTTTTCCTCACTCATTTCTCTCAAAAGAGTCTCTAAACTCCCCAATCTATCAGTCAACATCGGGCTATCAGTTATGTCTCTCCTCTGTCGCTGTTCCGCTTCCAACTCCCTCCTCGCATCCTCGAATCGAAAGGCTAACCTTGTCCCTACACTCACGATCTCCTCCAAAAGTCGTGCTGTCGCTGTCGCCATTATGGGCTCGAGTATTCTTGCTGACTTCCTTAGAACTAAATCATAGACCCTAATTTTCCAGGAAGCTGGTAAGATAGGGGTGTTGCTGATATTACCGATGTACTTGTGGTGGATGAGTTTCCAGCCAACCCATCACATCCAGGGTCACCTAGTTCGCTAGGAAGGGCGTATTCACAGCGTCGGATTGTGCAAACCCTGAAAGAGATTTGGGAAAACGTTGCACAGTATTGCACACCGCCGCGGTACAACTAGTTACCATTCTGTTGAACGTTTAGCAGACCACAGAACCAAAGGGAGATTCTGTGGTTTCCAGTTCGGCCACACTTCGCAAATTGTTCTATGCGAGCCAATGCAAAGCACTGTGCGAGATCGCTTTCATCGCTCATAGTGGTTGGTCGGAACCGAAGTTTTCTCTGTGCGACTAGCCACACCCAGCAAAGATGACTTGTTACCGACACGCCCTCTGTTGGGCCACTGCAAAGAGTACCTGAACCCAGTGTAGGCCAAATCGCAACTTCTCATCCTAGCAGTTGCTGATCGGAGCTCTAGGTTCCATGTAGAGTGCCGTGAAAAGCGACAGCAGTCACAGTTGATGTTATTAGCTTCCATCAGGCAGCTCACTAACGTTGGGAGTATGGGGAAAAAACCAGCTGCTTTCTCACACGAAAAAGAGCTGAATGCAATTGAAATCTCGAAGCATGCTGCAAGATTAACCTTATCGATTGAACGTGGAACCGCATTAACTAACAACGCAACGCTAGTCAAGAATTATCTTGTTGAGCCATCGCGGTTTCATCTGTTGGAAGGTTCAATCTTGGCTGGCAGTTCAACGACGAAGATTTTATCAAAGGAGTCGATTTCAAGCGGAGGAGCAGCCTCTGCGGAAGTATCAATTAGGTCAGCCGCGTCACCCGCAGCTCCATTACCCGCTGCTTTTTCATGAACAAGTGGGATTTCCCCCGACACCATCAGAATCAGCAGCATTAACAGCAACTCCTTTCAATACCAAGCGTTACAAATATTAGGCATTTGAACAGGCAACAGCATCAGCATCGAAATTGGAACCAGAATCAGAATCAGCGAGGTCGCCGGCAATACCGAGGCAGCCTCCCCAGCCTCACATCGCTCCGCAGGGAAGCAGCACCGCCGTCGCCCCAGCCCCAGCGTCACCCTTTACCCTGCAATGCCAATGCAGCTGCACGCCCTCATGCCACGCCACCAGCCAATGAAACTTTGAATCTCCCCTTGCTGCAGCTCCTGATCAAACACCTGAAGTTGGAATGCGCGTTGGCATCACCCCCTACCGCCCATCGCACCTTCCCTAGCGCCCTGTCTCACCTTCCCTAGCGCCCTGTCTCACCTTCCCTAGCGCCCTGTCTCACCTCCCCCTAGCGCCCTGTCTCACCTCCCCCTACCGCCCTGTCTCACCTCCCCCTACCGCCCTGTCTCACCTCCCCCTACCGCCCTGTCTCACCTCCCCCTACCGCCCTGTCTTACCTCCCCCTACCGCTCTATCGCACCTCCCCTGACCGCCCTATCGCACCTCCCCCTACCACCTTGACGCTTCTCCCCCTATCACACCTGCCACCACCCGATTGCACTTCCCCGTACCGCCCATCGCACCTCCCCCCATGGCACTTCCCCCTGTAACACCTCTATCACAGCAACACTCTTCACGCCCAACCCCTCTTCCGTCGGCAAAGCAGCTGTGATCGGCAGGTGAAAGCAGGTGAGGCAGGTTGCAACTCACAGTTCCGAACGAAAGGCAACTTCGTTTGGCTTCTGCAACTACTGTAAGTGCATCAGCTGCCGGTTGCGCGCATACTCCAAAAAGGACGGCACGTCAGGGTACCTCACCACACTCCCACCACCACTCCCAGTAGCCCCAGCAGCAGCAGCCGCACCCTCTTGGGCTAGCAGGTTGGCGTGCTGCACGCAGACAATATCGCCATCCTCCAGCTTCGCGCCTTTGAACGTGACCTTGTCCTCCAGGGCCACACATATCACACTTGGCTCGAACTTTAATTCCTGCAATAATGGGGGGAGGAGAGGGCACCCATCTTGTTGTCCGGCGCATGCTGTACAATCCCCTCCTCTTGCCCCGCACGCACCTCAAAAAGTAGGATGTCATTGAGCTGTGCAAGGCCACACATCTCGACCTTCCCTCTTAAATCGACTCAACACTAAGCACTAACAAGACAACCCTCCCCCCTCGCCACACACGCACCTCAAAGAGTAGGATGTCATTGGTGGGAGCGAGGTCACACATCTCCTTGACCTTCTCTCGCACATCTCCAGGTTTCTGTTCGAGCTTCACAAAGAAACGACCCACGTACCTGTAAGACAGAAGGGGAGTAGGGAGAGGGTAGAAGGGGGAAAAGTTTAGCATTTGAGATGTGTGGAGATTCACATCAAAAGGTATCTGTTGATCGCGCTTCACAAAATGAAGTGGCTGCAAAGTGAGTCGGAGGGGTGGGAAGGAAATGAAGGGGAGGCGAGGGGAGAGAGATGAGGGAAAGGGCGTGAACAGGGAAAACGTTGATATCTGAGAGATGTGAAATCCGAGTCAAAACCGTGCTATGCCGGGACTTCACCTGATCATCTCGTGCCTAAGAATCTCTCAACTAAGCATTGCGCACCGCGTCTCTCACCTAACCACATCTCACCTAAGCGTTTCAGTGACTGGGTTGTAGAACTTGAGAAAGAGCAGAATGTCGTCCTTGGCCCTCTGATGTGGTAGAGCAAATGGCCGGTTCTGGTGCAGTCAGGATACGGAGGAGGGGAATGGGTAGGTTGGGGATTCTTGCATCGACTTTGGTAGTCACCTTGAAAGCAATGGACCCCGGGCCTTCGTGCGGTGACAAAGGGTAGGAAATGAGGGGTAGGATGGAGGGATAGGGAAGAGGGGGACTGATGGGTGGGAGGGAAGGAGAGGGAGTGCGTGGTTGGGGGGAGGAGGAGATGGAGTGACGAAGGAATAACGGCTGTCAAGTCCTGGTGCGTACAGGTGAGGGGAACGAGACGCCTCACAATCCGTCACATGAGCAAATGAAATGCGGCAACAAGGGGGATGAGAAGACTTACAGGGGGGGGTCAGCGTGCCTTCTAGGAACAAACGCAGGTCCATGGCATGTGCCTTGCACACTGAGTCCCTCAGCTGCCCCACCTGAAAGAGGAAGCGGGTGAGAGGAGGCGGGTGGGAGGGGGCGGGTGGGAGGAGGCGAGAGGATAAGGGAAGAGAAGGGTTGGAATAGATTGGGGGAGCAGACACAGATCCATTGCTTGTGCCCTGCACACTAATTTCCTCAGCTGCCCCACCCGGGTAGACTAAACAGAGTGTAAGGTACAAAAGCGAAGGGGAAAAGGGGGGAGGTGGAGGAATGGGAAGGATGGGGGCTATGGAGAGAGGAGAGAGGAGAGATAGAGAGGAAGGGGCTGGAAAAAGTGCTTTTGCATCTTTCGAAAATCTACCATGAGTAATTCACTCCCTAGATTCGCTTTTCTCTCTCACTTCCACTCTTCCTCCACCCCACCGCCCCCTCCCTATACCCTCACCTTCAACCCTTTCTCACCGTCATGCCCTCTTCCGCGGGATTAAGCGGCCGGTGGGGGCGGTAAGTGTGGTTCAGCCGCCGCGTCCACAGCCAGAACCGCTGCCCTGCCACCGGAACGCCCACGTCCCTCTCCACCTTCCTCTGGAAGTCCACAAACTGCATCTGCTTTGGCAAGCGGAAGCTTGTCACGTGCTCGTGGTCTACGAGGTCGAAGATGCGGTCGCGGCCGATCTGCTGCCGCAAATCCTTGTCGCAAGAGACCTTGATGACCGTGAACAGGTGCGCCTCGGCCGCCTCCTTGCGCTTCCGCTCCTCCTCCTGCCTCTCCTGCTCCCGCTTCAACTGCAACTGGGTGTGGGGGGAGGGGAAGAGTGGAGGCAAATACAATACAGACGGGAGTCAGGCAACTGGGTCTATGTGGAGGAAAATGTCACAACCCTTGCGCCTGCACTCCTCCTCCTCCTGCTAAAGATTTGCTGGGGAGGGAGCGGGAGGAGCAGGCACACGCTGAGAGGATATAAGGAACTATGGTGGGAGAGGAAATGCTACTGCCCCACCCACCCTGAGCCTGAGGTGCTGAGCAATATCGCCCTTACCTGCAATGCTGCTTTCACGTACTGCCTTTCTCACTCTCCCACTCACTTACCAAGATGGGGTAACCCATCGTCCCTCCCTGGCATCCGTCAAACTGAAATCCAGTGCTCTCCGAGGCTCGTCAGCTTCCTCACGTGCACCAAAGAAGCTGATGAAGTAGTTCTTGTGGCATGGTATGGCCACGAGAAAGAACAAGGAGTTTGAGGGACCCAAGGAAAGTAAATTGGGAAAGCCCAGTACTTGTAACCCGTGATCAAGTTGACAGAGAACCGTCAGGATGCAGATTCTTTATGATGATGAGTCAGCAGAGTAGGTACATAGGTTTCAGCTCTTCCATTCATGTCACGGTGTGAAGGGGCCTCAAGGATGTTACATAGACAGAATGGGAATTCATGAGGCTTTTCTTCAGGGGTGTCAAGCCAGGGAGGTGAATTCTAGGATCAGGATTTGCCGCATCGCTGCTGCTCCACGTTACTACAGATTGTGTGATCGCAAAAATATATGATCCTCAAACATGCTTTGGTCGGCCGCTGTGTCGAAGTCACATGGATAGTCTGAAACTCCGTTACTTTGAATACGAGACTGGCGAACAGAGAAAAAACTGCGCCTTTTCTAACATCAATTCATAACAAGCTCTCACCTCCCAATCCTTCGCTTCCTCCTTTGGCTGCACCAACGTTTTCACTGCCTGTGCTACAGATGCAGACACAAGTGATTCCATATCTTCTCTTGAAACCCGTGCTTCTTCATCCTGAGCAACCGCCTGCAAGCAGCACATTGTGAGGAAAAGCCAGAACTGGAGTGAGTATATATCCATATCATTCAATTTTGGGTGACACGCTTGAATAAATGTTTCCGCTCACCTCCCAAATTTTGCACGTTTCTTCCTTCTGATGCGACAGCGATTTCTCTGCATGCGAAAGTCGCACTGTCAGTGCAGCCACCTCCTTTTCCTTCTCCTCCCTCGCAGCCCTTTCACCTGCTAGCTCAGTCTGAAGTTCGCTTATTTTGTTAGTGTTTTCCTCCCTCATTTCTCTCAGAAGTGGCTCCCAGTCCTTCGTTTCCTCCTTTGACTGCACCAATTGTGCTACCAATGCAGACACAAGTGACTCAATCTCTTCTCTCGAAACCCGTGCTGCTTCATCATGAGCAATTACACTTGTTGGCGACTGACACGAAGCCCGAGAAACCGCCTGCAAGCAGCACATTGCGAGAAAACGCTAGAACTGGAGTAGATATCAAATCATTGAAGTATGGTGCCACGCTTGAAGAGACTTTTTTTCGCTCACCTCCCAAATCTTGCACGTTTTTTCTTTCTGATGAGACAGAGATTCCTCTGCCTGCGAGAGTCGATCTGTCAGTGCGGCCACCTCCGTTTCCCTTGCAGCCCTCTCACCTGCTAACTCATTCTTAAGTTCGCGTATCTTCCTATCGTTCTCCTCCCTCATTTCTCTCAATAATGTCTCCAGGTTCTGCAATCTATCAGTCAACATCATCGGGCTCTCCGTGATTCCTTCTCTCTGTCGCTGTTCCGCTTCCAACTCCCTCCTTGCATCCTCGAATCGAACCGCTAATTTCGTTCCTACGCTCAAAAGCTCCTCCAAAAGCCTGGCTGTCGCCGTCATCATTGTGAACACAGCTCCGATTGTGATGACGAGGAGCCGACGCGTTTTGTGAGAAAGAACGATCAGCAAAGCTAAACCACGGAATTTGGGAACCAAATATTGACGCTAATCCTCTGGAAGGTTGGTAGGAGATCTCCTAAGGTTGTAACTTCTGTGTGTCCTCTCGACATCCGTCGACTTCGCCCGCAGCATGGAAATCCGCCATCGTCGCAAGCTGGGGCACATCGGGACGCGGGCCCACTTCCCCGTCCCGCCTGAGCGCTGCACCCTCCGCGCATGTCCTCCATCGGCGTCGCGACGGCCTGTGCAAATATTGCGCAGATTCCTGTAGCCTGGAAACTTAGCGATGCGTGCGCGAAACATAACTTCTCGCACTGACCTTTTGATCTGTCACCCTTCTCGCCTGATTCGTCGTCGTCACTCCTCGTTAGGCGTGAGGAGGGCGTGATCTAGGCGTGAACTTATGGGGGATGATCAGCATGTGCGCTATCCTGCCACCTGCACCCATATCATTTGATGATTCGTTTAGCGCGAGTGTTTCACGAGTGAATGTAATGCAATCAAGTCTATAACTACAAAATTTGTTCGGCACGGTTGAAAATGTTTCTGTACGGGCCTTGAGGCTGAAGATCGACCGCTTTTCGCAAATCAGCACTGTCACGAAGTCTGACGAAACAGCATGTAAGATTTCTTCCATCGTTTATAGCGGTCCGAAGTCTTTTCTGCGAGAGCAGAGACACCCAGCGAAGATGACTCTGTTACTGACACCACCATAAGGATTGCAAATACGGGAAATATAGACACGGATTTTTAGGATCATCTCATCCCTCACTCTGGCAGGTGCTGGTCGGAGAGCTCTCATGTTTCATGTAAGAAAATAGCTGCGGTCCTGAATTATAGTGGCGTGAAAAGCGGCAGCAGAGATGCGGATGATGTCATTAGATTGAATCAGGCAGCACGGTAGCGGTGGGGGGATGGGGAAGAAAATAGCTGCTTTCTCGCAAGGCAGGGGAAAGAGCTGAATGCGACTGAAATTTTGAGGACGGAACCCCAGCTAGGATAACCGTATCGATGGAATGAGGAACCGCATCCGCAAACGACGCAACGCTAGCAACGGATTGTTTTTTTGGGCCAGAAACGCGATTCCCAGATACGGGAACATCAGTTTTGGCTGTTTCAACGGCGACGATTTCATCAAGGACGGAATTTGATGGAGTAGCATCAATAGGGCCAGCCGCGTCACCCGCAGCGGCATACCCGCGACTGCTACGTCACGAAAACGATTTAGCAACACTGTCAGCATCAGCATCACATTTAGAATCTGAGTCAGGAACAGAGAGGTCGTCGGCAATACCGACCATTCTCCTCTGCACAGCCTCCCCCGGCCTCACATCGCTCCGCAGGGAAGCAGCACCCGTCGCCCCAGCCCCGGCGTCGCCCGGGATTCTTTGCTACAAGATTCGAACTCGGTATAAGCTCAAATCTCCGTATAATCTCGGAATTCGTCTGGCAGAAGGCTACAGTAATCTTCCGGCTGCGAATTTCCCACCAGGATCATGGGCTGCAGGGAGCAGAACCCAACCACCAACACGCAGGCAGCCGCGAATGGGAAGAAAAAACCATTCGGTACAGTCACATCCGCAGGCGCCGCTGCAGCCGTGGCTGCGTTACAAGCACGCAAGCACTGGGTGAGCAGGGTACAGGAAGGGTTACCCCAGGCGGCGGTGGTGCTGCTGCGGGTGCTGGTGGTGGTGGCGGCTGCTTGGAGCGCGTGTGCTGTGATGTTCTTTTCCCTCGTTATAATGCCCTGGGTCATGCTCCACCTCTCCACCGCCTCCCACCCGCACTTCCGCGCCCTTCATTTCAATCACACCTTCGTTGAGGCACTTTTTGCTGCTGCGGGGGAGAAGGGGCAAGGAGGCAAAGAAGGAGGGAAATTTGGAGGGAGTGTGGGGCGGAGTGGGTGGGAGTGAGAAAGGGGGACCTGTGGAGGGCGAGGAGTGAGAAAAGGGTGTGTGAGCTTGGGAGATGGGATTGGCAGAAGGTGAGGGAGCAACATCTGTTGTGGGGCACCTGTTCAGGCACCTCTCACAAGGACGGTCAAAACACTTGATCAAGCACCTGACGCTGAAAGCGGAGCCAGGAGCTACCGCATTTGCGTACCTGTGTGCATACCCATCAGCCAATGCAACTGTGATTTTGAGATCGGTGCATTGGCAACTTGCTTACTCCCCATCACACTTCCGTCATCGTACCTTTCCTGTGGCTCGTACCTCCCCCCATTTGTACCTCCCCCCATTTGCACCTCCCCCCATTTGCACCTCCCCCCATTTGCACCTCCCCCCATTTGCACCTCCCCCCATTTGCACCTCCTCCCCCCATTTGCACCTCCCCCCATTTGCACCTCCCCATCTCACCTTCCCCCATCCCACTTCCGCCCATTGCTTTTGCCCCTGGCGCATATTCCCCCATCCCTACGATTCTCCCCATGCCCCCGTTTTGCCGATGCTGAAGCAGGACCGATCAGCTATGCACCAGCAGCGGCATGCCCAGCAGCAGCAGAGGCAGGCTTATTTACAGCAGAGGCAGGCTTATTTACAGCAGAGGCAGGCTTATTTACAGCAGAGGCAGGCATTTGCCATTCATTTGATATCCAGAGTCGGATGCACCATAGCCACCTTGCTGCCATGTTACAATGTTACCACCACCTCCATTTATGGGCAGGTTACAGGTGCTGCCGTACAGTCATGCAGCACAGTAGCCTGTACAGCAGGCCATACTGCAGCAAAGCTAATCCTACACTCCGTTCTGGCCCAGAGTTTCTGTAGCCCCCCGCGCTTTCTCTAACCCATTTTGAGCAATCTTGTCCGTCCAATTTGCTGGTTATTGATCCAACCGTTGGCAGTGTGTCAGATTGCTGAATAAGCATCGTCTGCCCCTTCTGCCCATTATTGCCACTACAGTCTGCCCGCAGCATCAGCAGCAGCATCACGAGGAGCTGAGGAGAAGGATCCGCTGAAGGGGGAGTAACAGCGATGGCATGGCAGTGGTAGGGGGAACAGCTGCAGCAGCATTGTCTCCCATGAATGGAGGGTTGGTTTCACTAACGAAAGAGGTGAAGAGTCAGGAGTAGAAGCAAACCCTACGCTCTTTTCAATAGTGTAGCAGTGGCAGGTGTAGGACGGCACTGGGCAGCAGGAAGGAGCAACAGGGTTGTCCCTTGGGCAGCTGAATGTGCGGGGGGGAGAGTGATTGAAAGAGAGGCAGATTGGGAGGCAGGGAGGAAGGCGGATAAAGAAGCTGTGGCTGGTGGTGGGGGATATCAGAGTGTTGGCAGAGGAGGGAAGAAGCAGGGTCGATGGGAGGAGGCTGGGAGCAAAGGGGTGGAGAGTGGTAGCAGAGGAGAGGACAGTGGTGGCCTGTGAAAGTGTAAGTTTTATCTGCTTCGACAGGGTCGCAAGTTTGCGTGCTGCTCAGATGCCTACTGCCAGTGCAGCCTTGCAGCCTTGCATTTGCTCACAGACCAGCCTTGTGTCCGCCCACAGAAGCAGCCTTGTGTTGCGTACAGCAGCCTTGCCTGTGCTGTGCCACAGGAGTGCACAAGGGCTGTCTCGCAGGGGAAGAGTGGTTCTACAGGTGCTGTGTCGTTGCATTCAAGCCATAGCTTCAGCAGCAGAAGTGCTGTGGGTTATGGTGGTGCTGGTGGTGGCCTTGGTGGCAGTAGTGGCATTGGAGGGGCCATTGGCAGGAGCAGCCGAGGGGAGGTGGTGTTAAGGATGCAGGAGCAGAGGCAGCAGCAGCGGCAATGGTTCCTGCTGCTTCAGCTGCAACGCATGCTCTATGAGCAGGAGATGGCGAAGCCAACACCAGAAGCTGAACCACCACCAGCCTCGGGAACGCAAGCTGTATGAGCTGTGCAGGGGAGGTACGGACTAAAAGGTGCTGTAGGAGGCAGTGTGGTAGGAGGAGGAGTGCCACTGGTAGCAGTCCTGGAAGGCCGAGGAGAAAAAACAGAGTTTGTTCCGTGTGGCCAGATGCTGCTGTGCTGTGTGTGCCCTTTTTCCAAAGGTAGGATCAATGATGTACTTCAAATCAA